GCAGTAATGAGCTATGATCACACCACTGCATCCCAGCCTGGGCAACAGAGTAGGACACCATCTGAAAGAAAGAGAGAGAGAGAGAGAGAGGGAGGGAGAGGGAGGGGGGGGAGGGAGGGAGAGAGAGAGAGAGAGAGAGAGAGAGAGAGAGAGAGAGAGAGAGAGAGAGGAAAGAAGAAAGAAAGAAAGAAAGAAAGAAAGAAAGAAAGAAAGAAAGAAAGAAAGAAGAAAGAAAGAAAGAAAGAACGAAAGAAAGAAAGAGAAAGAAAGAAAGAAAGAAAACCCAAATATTCTAGCTTTGTAAAGTGTCACCACTGGAAGGGACCATGGAGAGTATTCTGCCCAACTCCCCCATTTAATAGATGAGGAAACTGAGGGCCAGGGATGTGAAGTGACCTGCCCAGAGTCCTGTCATGAGTTTGTGGCAAACTACCTAAAGTATTCCTGTTTGATTTTGCTCTCTTCTCAAGTTAGAGAATGTCTTTGTATCACCTGTGCACGGTTCCCAGTCACATGTAACCGAAAACCAACTTGAAAAAGCTTGAGGAAAAGAAGAAATGAATTCATTGGCCCATCCTGAGAACTGGGGTTGGAGTGGGATGGCTAAGTCCACCTGAATCATGTGGCCTCAGAGTGGGCAGTGAGTGGTCTCTAGGGGAAAATGGTGGTGCTGTTCTCAGAAGGAAGAGGCTACCGGGCAGGGTAATGAGAGGAATACACTGGGTCCCCCACTCGGCTGCCGCAGCTTCTCAGACTTCCCTTCCATCTGCACAACTGTGTCATGCCCGACCCCAAACACACCTGCCAAAGGGAGGTGGCTGAAGAGTCATCAGACTATTGCATCCAGCCCTTCTGATAACACCCATTATGTTCTCTACAAGGATCTTTCTTCACTGTCCCTGTTGATCCCTAATGTGGACACTGGGGACCAGTTCTCCTTTTGCTTCTTTGACAACTCATTTGCTAGGTTTTGGTTTGGGGGTTCCTGAGCATTGCCTTAGGGCCTCTGTCTACCATGTTTTGGAATGTTCTGGCAGCAGGGCTGCCACGGATAGTTGTCCAGTCTGTGCACTGCTCAAAGTCATCCTGCTGAGAGGGAGAGGGACTATGCCTGCCCCAACAAGGAGAGGTGCTGATATGGTCTGGCTGTGTCCCCCCAATATGTCTTCTTGAATTCCCTCATGTGGGATGGATCCAGTGGGAGGAAATTGAATTATGGGGACAGGTCTTTCCCCTGCTGTTCTTGTAATAGTGAATAAGTCTTATGAGATCTGATGGTTTTTAAAAAGGGGAGTTTCCCTGAAGAAGCTCTCTCTCTTTGCCTGCTGCCATCCACATAAGATATGACGTGCTCCTTCTTGCCTTCTGCCATGACTGTGAGCTTCCCCAGCCAAGTAGAACTGTAAGTCCAATAAACCTCTTTCCTTTGTGAATTGCCCGGTCTTGGGTCTGTCTATATCAGCGGTGTGAAAATGGACCAATACAGGTGCCTTTCTACATTTTACATAAAGGCTCTGATAGGCTAGAATTAGTCCCCTTTTCTGAAAATACAAACACTTTAAAAGCTTAATAAGTGCATCAGATAGAATCCTTTATTTGAACAACAGAAACTCCAACTAACAAAAAAGAAATGTACATTCTTTCATATATATATGACCTAAATGTATATATATAGACCCAAACATATACACACACATATATGTTGTATATATATATAGTGTGAAGGTGAGGCAACAGACCTGACAGTATTCAGAGGAAGGTGCCCTCTTTTTAAGAGTGGGGATATCTTTTCTAGAAGCTTCCTCACAGACCTCTTCTCATGTCTCATTGGCAAAGCTGGGTCATGTGCCCACCTCTAAACCAGTCACTTGCAAAATGAATGAGATTTCTTCCATCATCTTAGACCAATCAGAATTTGTCCCTGAGCTGGGAGTGGCAGTGTTCCTGGGGGCAGACACCAACACACAATCTTGTTTGTTTAGCCAGGAAGAAATGGGGAGGGACGCTGTGGACCACAGTCAGCATGGCTGCCTCAGGCCTCTCACTGTTTGCATTCCGGCACTTGCCCATGACTCATTCTTGAATCTAGGTCCCAGCCTGGTGGCTTATTTCTCATGGCATTAGGACCTGGTTCTCTATTTACCCAGCCCTCGGCCCAGAGGCCTCCATCTTTGCCCTTGCCTTCCTTGGAACAATGTGAAACCATCTCGTGGAGTGGGAAGGCAGAACCGTAGCCCTCTCCCCTAGGTTACATTCTAGCAAATTGGCCTTTACCAAGAGGTGCATTTTGGCTTCCTGAGCTGGTCTGGAGGGCCTGGAGGATTAGGCTTAGCTCACACCCGAGACCCTCATTCCTCTGCCACGATGCTGTCCACTTTCTGCTGGTGCTGGTCCTGATGAACTCGTAGCATCGAATTTATCCTTTCCAGACTTGCAAGGAAATATATTATATGACTCTTGGGCGTCTTACATTGCTGGCTCGAGGCACAAGAGGCTCCCTTGGCGAGTTTGCACCCTCTCCCCTAGGCTGACCCCTTTTTCAGAGGGGTCGTCTTTTCTGGAAGGAATTCACAGAAGGCCCGAGAACCAGCTGACATCCCCTAACATGTGTAGTGTGAGCAAAAGAGATTCAAAATTATAGGACGGCTTCAAATTTAGAAGTATAAAAAGAAATATTGTTTTTATAATGCAAACCTAATAAAGACTCTACAAAACCTTCCTTCCCTGTGGGGAGCAAGGTAGAGAAGCCTGAGGACCCTGTGGGGCACTAGAAGATGAGAAGTGGGGAAGACTTGGCTCCCAGCCGGAGGAGATTTAACTTTTATTTTTTAAAAAAGTTTTAATTTTATTTTTAACTTTTAAAGACACGGGATCTCACTCTGTCACCCAGGCTGGACTGCAGGGGAGTGACCATGGCTAACTGCAGCCTTGGACTCCCAGGCTCAAGTGATCCCCCATCCCAGCCTCCCGAGTAGCCGAGACTGCAGGTGTCACCATACCCGGCTAAGGAAGTTTATGGTCTCCACGGAGAGACAAAAATAACATTCTAGGAACAATGAAGGTGAGTTGTGTTCAAGCACTAAATAGTGTGATGAACACCCTTCCCTGCCTGGCAAAACCCTGTCACTAACACAAGCTAAACTGGGCACGGTGGCTCAAGCCTATAATCCCAACACTTTGGGAGGCCCCATCTCTACAATAAAAATGTAAAAACTAGCGGAGTGTGGTTGTGCACACGTTTAGTCTCAGCTACTTGGGAGGCTGAGGTGGGAGGACCGCTTGAGTCTAGGAGGTTGAGCCTGCAGTGAGCCATGATGGTGCCACTGTTCTCCTGCCTGAGTGACAGAGCAAGAAATTGTCTTAACAACAAAAAAGGGGCCTAGGTCAAATGTCTCCTTCTTGGTAAAGTCTCCTCTGGACTTTGTGGCTAGTGTGTGTCCTTTTAGCCCTTGTGGTACTTTCCATGCCACGTCGCAGAAAGTGTACTGTTCAGGGCTCCTGCAGGGAGGACAGCAGTCCCCAAAAGTCTCTTGCGTGACTAATCCTGTATTGGTGACAGCTTCTTGGAGGATCTGTTAGAGGATCAACAAGTTAGTTGGTTACTTCTGCCTTCCCTGTTAGACTGTAAGCTCCCTGAGGTCAGAGAGCATCTGTATTGGGTGTCATCTCCATGTGGAGTCCAGTACTTGGCCCAGAAGAATAAGTATTGGTTGAATAAATGGACAAAGGGGTGAGCATTCAGAGAAGGAGCAGACAGGTGAGCCAGGAAGCAGCCGGAGGAAGCTCCAGGGAGCTCAGGAGCCCTGTCTGGGGCCTGCAGGGCGGGCAAGGCTGTTACAGTGGAGAGCAGGAGCCTCTATGCAGGGTCCACGTTCTGTTAAAGACGGGTTTAGGGCTTTCTCACCTTCCTAGAGTTAGGCTTGGGAGAGACTTGTGGGTAAATATATATAAGGGGCTGCTCTGCCTTGGCACAGGAGAGTTGGCCAGCTAGGATTTGGGGTAGGGAGGCAGAGGGAGTGGATAGAAACCAGAACGAGTGATGTGGCTGTCACCAGTGCCCAAGGTCAGGGTCCTGATACAGAGCAGAGCTTCTAGATGGTGCCAGGAAAGCCTTGGGGGCCCCGTGGATGAGGGTGGATTTTGGGAGATGTCTCTGGGGTGAAATTAGCACCCAGAACACATTGAATTCCCCCGTGTGGGTTCCGGTTTCTCCTGGACACTGTAGTCCCCACAGGGGTCTGGTCCTGGCTCCCCCCGCCACACTTGTTATTCAGATGACATCTGGTTATTGTTCCCGTCAAGGGCAACCCCGACCTCGGGGCCCTGTAGCAGTGCGGGTGGAGGGAAACACTGGCAAGGGTTGAACTCCTGCCCCCACTGCTGATGCCTGGGCCGCACTCCCACAGAACCCTAAGGCCAGCAGGAGGGGGCTGGGAAGTCCCCCAGAGGGGAATGTGCCCCATACAGGGCCGGGCAGCCTGGACAAAGCTGCTGTGGTGAGAGACCAAGCACACACAAAAGATTGGTCCACCCGCCTAGTCTTCCCAAGCCATCAGGGTCCGTGGGAGGAGGAGGTGTCAGGCACTCTGCAGGTATCTGTGCCTTAAACAGGTCTAATGGGGGAAAGCGTGAGCCTGCCCGAAGCTGCCTTGGGGACGAGAGGGGGCAGAGGCCCTGCTTGCTTGATGCCAGGAATGAAAGGCTGGCACTCCAGAGCAGGGAGCAAGGGGACGGCTGGAATGAGGCCCCAGCAGGGTGGCCACTTGGAATCCTGGCTCCTTTGCTGCCCAGTAGGCAAACAGAACTGCAGCTTTAGGTTGTGGGCAGGCAGAGTCCTGGCTGGGACTCCAGGAGGCCCCGAGCCCCCGATGACCCTGAGGCCCTGCTAGCCCCAGAGGCCCCATTGGCCCCAGATGGCCGGGGGTGGAGCCCTAGCTTATCTCTCCAGCTGCCCAGTTCCCTGCCACTTTATCAAGAAGGATGAAAGGGTGTCAGAGTTCAGAACTCCCACCCCACCCTCCCCGTGGGACAGGACCCAGGTGTGGGGTGTGTGGGGGGCAGTGGAGAACAGCCCTCGGGCACAGTCAGGAGTCCTCTGTCCTGGGAGGGTTTAAAAGCCTGAGGGCTGTCTTGGCCTCAGTCTGACCTTCCCTCCTGGCGACAGCATGCGGGGGCTGCTGGTGTTGAGTGTCCTGCTGGGGGCTGCCTTTGGCAGGGAGGACTTTGTGGGGTAGGGATGTGGGGAGGACGGGGTGCTCTCTGAGTGTGATGGGAAGGACCCGGCCCCCAATCAGTGGAGGAGACAGACACATGGCAATACAGCCAGAGAGGATGGCCTGGCGCCGCCTGGGGCAGCTGGAGATGGGGGCCAGGGTGGGAAGAGGTTGTGTCTCCCAGAACAGTATCCTGAGCCCTGGAGAAATCTGAGCTCTGAGGAGTTTTCAGGAGAGGAGAAAGGAGAAGCCCTGGCTGGCTTGGAACAGAGAAACGGTCCAAACTGAAATGGAGACAGTAACTGTGTCTAGAAGTTTCTAAAGATGGGGAGAGAAGGGGTGAGGGAGCCCAGGCCTCTTCTTGCTGAGACCTTCGGTGCTTTCCCCTCCTAGCCAGGAGGACCAGGCCCAGTAGGGGGATTTGGGGCAGCTGCAGCCTCGGGTGCTCACTCCCCACTCCCACTCGGCCCAGGCACCAGGTGCTCCGAATCTCTGCAACCGATGAGGCTCAGGTGCAGAAGGTGAAGGAGCTGGAGGACCTGGAGCACCTGCAGGTCAGAAGCGGGAAAAGGGCCCTCCGAGGGCCCAGGGTACCAGGCGGGGCCACCCCAGGTCCCAACAAGCCCCTGTGGCTGACTGTGCCTGTCTCTCCACCCAACAAAGAGACATGGAATTAACCCCTGTTAGGAAGCGACTTCAAACCCCCAGCTCCAGCGTGTTGCTACCCATGAGCACCTGGGCAACGCCGCAGGCCCCTTTCTGGCTCCCCGCTCTGCCTTGCTGTCTCAAAGGCCCTCCACTCTGCTCCTGGGACATTTCCCTGACCACCCTGGACTCTCCGGTCCCCAGAGTTTCCCTGTCTTTCTCTGCCGCTATTACCCCTGTCCCATCCCCAATTATATGAGAACTTCTGGCACCAACAGCCCCTCCCAGGCCGTCTCTGCCCCTGCCCACTGTCCTGGCTGGTGCCCCCAGCCTGCTGTGACTGTGCTGGCTCTTGTCCTCCCAGCTGGACTTCTGGCGGGGCCCTGCCTACCCTGGCTCCCCCATCGACGTCCGAGTGCCCTTCCCCAGCATCCAGGCGGTCAAGGTCTTTCTGGAATCCCATGGCATCAGCTACGAGATCATGATCGAGGATGTGCAGTCACTGCTGGATGAGGAGCAGGCACAGATGTTCGCCTTCCATTCCCAGCCCCGCTCCACCGACACCTTTAACTACGCCACATACCACACCCTGGAGGAGGTGAGGGCGCCCCTAGCCACCACTCCCCGGAGCAGCCAGCTCTTCATCATGGTTGGCAGGAACGGGGCAGGGCCAGGGCCAGCCTGGGTGTGCATGGCACCTGCTCTGTTTCTGTGTGGCCTGTGTGGTTGTGGCTTCGTTGCATTGCAGGGTCACAGCAGGCTGGAATGGTGGAGTGTTAAGGGAAGCATCTGGGTGCCCAGAAACTAATAAGCCAGTCACCTCTTCCTTCCCACCTCAGATCTATGATTTTGTGGACCTGCTGGTGGCTGAGAACCCACATCTTGTCAGCAAGATCCAGATTGGCAACACCTATGAAGGGCGTCCCATTTATGTGCTGAAGGTAACAGCCACATGTGGATATACACATGGGAGAATGGACCCACGTGTGGCACCATGATGGGCATGGGTTCTCACGGGGAAATCATGGCCAAGAGACCACTGTTAAATGGACTCCCCATGCAGACATTTGGAAAGGTCTGAGCCTCCAGCCTGGTCTGGGTGTGTGCACACCTGCCCAGACACAAACTCTTAGATGATCCAGTGTTCCCAATCAAGTGTCACATTGTGGAAAGTACTGTGGAGTCTGGCAGTCCAGATAAAGTGTTTTCTTGAAATGGAGTCTCACTCTGTCACCCAGGCTGGAGTGCAGTGGCTCGATCTCAGCTTACTGCAACCTCCACCTTCCGGGTTCAAGTGATTCTCCTCACTCAGCTTATAGCTGGGACTACAGGCACATACCACCATGCCTGGATAATTTTTGTAATTTTAATAGAGACAGGGTTTTGCCATGTTGCCCAGGCTGGTCTTAAACTCCTGGACTCGAATGATCCACCTGCCTTGGCCTCCCAAAGTGCTGGGATTACAGGCGTGAGCCACTCTGTGCCCAACCCAGATAAATAAAGTGTTTTGTTTATAATGTCTCCCGGAGAACTGTCTGGGCAGCAGAACAGGGGCAGGGCCAGGGGCCTGGTCAAGTCATATTCATCCCAAGCCCAGGTTGAGGGCAGGAGGCCAAGCTCTGTGGGATCTCTGTCCCGTCCCCAGCCCCATGCCCACCTGAGTGATGTCCCCACCAGCAGAGCCTCTACCTGAGATACACAGAGAGCAGGTGGCCTCTGGCCCAGGTTGGGGTCTCCTTCAGGGCAGTGAGATGAGGCCCCAGCTATGAAATTGCCTCTGATCACTTCCCTGCCTTCTCTCCAGTTCAGCACGGGGGGCAGTAAGCGTCCAGCCATCTGGATCGACACGGGCATCCACTCCCGGGAGTGGGTCACCCAGGCCAGTGGGGTCTGGTTTGCAAAGAAGGTAAGGTGGGGAGGTGAGGAGGGCTCTCACCCAGTGGGGCATTGGTATCCAAGGCCCACAGAAGCCTGGGCCTCCCTTTGCCCATCCAGAAGCAGTGACCACAGAGGAGGGCAGGAGGAAGTGTTCATTGCTGTGGCTTGCCAGATGCCTGGCCTAGCCCACTCTGCCCCTCTGCCCCTCTAACCCCCCAGATCACTCAAGACTACGGGCAGGATGCAGCTTTCACCGCCATTCTCGACACCATGGACATCTTCCTGGAGATCGTCACCAACCCTGATGGCTTTGCCTTCACCCACAGCAAGGTACCGGTCTTCTCCTGTCCTTGGGGGAAGAAGGATGGGCCTCTGGTTTCTAAGCCATAAAAGTAGCTCACCCCTAATGTCAACCTCCAGAAGTCAAGGGAGGGGCAATCAGACCTGCGCTCCTAGCTGAGGGTGTCTCAACCTCAGTGTGATTGGCATTTGGGGTGAATAATTTTTTGTCACGGGGGCCATCCTGTGCACCCAAGGTGTTTCTAGCACCCTGAACTTACACCCATTTAATGCCAGTAGGACCCCCATCCCCCTGGGTGGTGACCAAAATGTCTTCAGATATTGCAAAATGTCTACAGGGGAGGGTCAAGATTGTCCCCAGTGGAGCCCCACTGCCCCAGACCTTACTTCCTGGTCCTACTTCTATTTTTATGGCAAATAAAACATCTGACCAATGATGTGAGGCCATGGTGCTGGTGGGGGACACCTCACGGCTTCTTTGCCGTATAGAACCCTCTGGCCAAATGCTACCCCATGGCCTCCCTCACTCTCCTGTGCAGGACACCCCCTCTGCTGATCTTCCTCCCTGACAACCAGCTGGGGGCGGATCCCAGCCAAGCTGTGCCTACAGCTCTGCTCTGGATCAGGGCACTTCTGTTGAGGACTTCCACCTCCACAGAGCCCTCCCTGCTAGTCCTCTCTGCTCTCTGCAGCCTCTGAACCACCCCCCACCTAGCACTGTGACCAGCCCCACATGTGCCTCGGGTGGCTGATCCCACTTCCTCCCTCAGAATCGCATGTGGCGCAAGACTCGATCCCTCACAACAGGCTCCCTCTGTGTTGGCGTGGACCCCAACAGGAACTGGGACGCTGGCTTTGGGTGTAAGGTCCAGAGTGTCTTGGGAGCAAGGATGGGATGGCCTGGAACAGCTCCTCACCACTGCTCTTGCTCCCCGCCTCTCTCCTGCCCCTGCAGCGATGGGAGGGTGGGGGGTGGCAGCTCTGCCTCTGAGGGCTCTGGGGGTGGAGGCTGTGCTCGGAGAGTGGTTGTCCCTTGTCTGTAAAAGGCAAGTTCCTCACAAACGGGCTAAGGCCTGAAATCCTATCTAGGAGGTTTCTAGCTTAACCTCATTCCTCCCTCCTCAGCCACGGCGCTGTGAGAACTGGTCTCCACTAAGGAGCCCGTCTTCCCTCCCTGAGCATGCCCATCAGCTCTGCCCAAACCAGGCTGGGAGGGCAGCACCCCCAGGTTATAGAAGTCCTCTGGGCTTTCCTGAATCCAGGGGTACGAGTGAGCCCTTCCATACCCACCTCACCCCCAACTCCATGCAAAGAACTGCATTCCACAAGCTGCAGAAGCAGGAGGAGCCACACCATGCCCTCTGTCCACCCACAGTGGCCGGAGCCAGCAGCAACCCCTGCTCGGAGACTTACCACGGCAAGTTTGCCAATTCCGAAGTGGAGGTCAAGTCCATCGTGGACTTTGTGAAGGACCACGGGAACATCAAAGCCTTCATCTCCATCCACAGCTACTCCCAGCTCGTCCTCTATCCCTATGGCTACAAAACAGAACCAGCCCCTGACCAGGATGAGCTGGTAGGCACTGACCCCTGCTTGCCCTCTCATCCCCAAGGCGGCATTGGACAGGCCTGGGCTTTACCTCATCAGACCTGTGTAAGGCACAGACACCTGCAGAGTGCCTGTCACTTCTTTCTCCCACAGACCCTGATGGCTTGGGAAGACCAGCAGCATGGACTAACCTTTTTTTTTCTGGGAAACCGCGGCACAGGAGTGATGGAGTCACTTTTGTCATGAGACAGAGCAAGGGGCAGGGCTAGACTTTGATCTTAGGCACGACATGTGGAGGTGTATGTGACAGAAGGGCAGGGACGGCCAGCTAGACACCCCGAGGGGCCTGTGCTGACAGGCTCCCGGGCAGAGCCCACAGACCAAGCAGGCTCTGCGCTCCCCGCCCGCAGGGTGCTCCTCCTGTGCTCCCCTGCCAGCCCCCAGACTAGTCTGGACATGCTGTTCCAGGAGCCTGGCCATGACAGGTGGCCTTGCTTGGTGTTTTGTCCAGGATCAGCTTTCCAAGGCTACTGTGACAGCCCTGGCCTCTCTCTACGGGACCAAGTTCAAGTACGGCAGCATCATCAAGGCAATTTGTAAGTGGCTGTATGGTCTCTCTTGGTGGGCCTGGGAGGAGTATCGGCTGGCTCTTCCTGACCGAGGGAGTATCCTGCATGGAGGGAAGTGGCCAAGGGCGCTCAGATCTGCCAACTGCTGGTGAGGGCTGTTCTGAGGGGTGGGCAGTCCCTTTTCCTGACATGAACTCTGCTTCCTGTGATACTTTCAGACAAATGTGGATTCCTCCGAGAGCTCTTGTCCTCTTGTGTTGGGGCCAAGTCTAGTTTCTTGGTTGGATGGGGTGGAGAGTCCTGCTAGGATGTGCAGATCACCAGGAAATTCAACTTAAAAAAACACTTCTCCTCCCGTGCCCCTCAATTAGAGAATAGGCTTGATCTATTTCCCACTTACTGATTCATGCAATGCCCCTGGGAGAAGCATTTCTGAATCAAAATGGAATTAAGTCAACAAATGTTTATGGAACACCTGCTATGCACCAGGCCCTGTTTCACGTGCTTGGGATGTAGCCATGAATGAAATAAGCAAAGATCAGGAAACTTTCTAGCCAGGCAGACCAACAATGAGCATAAATAAGTAAATGATACAGTAAGTGAGGTGACAGATGCTGGGGAGGAAGACTAAAACCAGACCAGGCGAGGTGAATTAGGGGCACGGGGGTTGGAGGTGGGGCAGGTGGGTTGAAGGGCAGGCCTCATTGAGAGAGTGACATTTGGGCAAGTATTAAAGGAAATAGGTGGGGACTGTGGCAGCCAGGAGGCTACCCATCTAGGAAGAGCCTTCCAGGCAGAGGAACATTCTAGAGCAAAGGCTCTGCTGAGTGGTCTGGCCAGGATGTTGCTGGAATAACAAGATCAGTGTGGCTGCCTCCAAGTACCTAAAAGTCGAAGCTGGGGAGAGGGGTGAGTGGGGAGGGCTGCGTACACACCTCACACGCTTCCTGCCCGAGTGCCTAGGCTTTGGTGGGCAAGGGGGTCACAATCTTACCCAGGGCCGACCTCACTTTTGGACCCTAGGCCTTCTTTGGAAACGGATTCAACTCTGAGTCAAGGTTTTGCTTCATTCAACACTGTCAAGTTAAATTCTGTTATGCAGCCTACTGCTCTCTCCTGAGCCAATCCAAAAGTGGCTTCATGACCCACTGTTAATTACAGTTTCCCGGGCAAAGTTTCCTCCTTAGAGAAAGACAAGGGCTTTCCCTTTGACTCAGGCTCTTTACACTTTCCGCCTTGCAGACCAGAGCCCCAGGGGAACAAATCCTGGTTACCCAAGCAGGGAACTCTGGTATATTTTGGGGTTCACCAAAGCAGCTGTTGGAGGGAGGCTGTTTTCAGAGTGGCTTGTGCAATTGCAGAGACTTCCTTGCATCCCCCAGTGAATAGAACCATTGCTGGTCTCCTCTTTGGACCTCTTGGCTTAGACCTTTCAGTGGGAGTTTCTCAGAAGTCAGGCTGCTTGGTCAACAGCAAACCTTAGTAGCCACTGACTCCACTCAGCATTACACAAGACACAGAGCTGTGGACAGGGTTGGATCATTAACCCGACCCGTGTAAATGTTCCCAAAGCGGTGACCCTTGCTCTCCTGTTTTACTCCTGCCCCAGATCAAGCCAGCGGAAGCACTATTGACTGGACCTACAGCCAGGGCATCAAGTACTCCTTCACTTTCGAGCTTCGGGACACTGGGCGCTATGGCTTCCTGCTGCCAGCCTCCCAGATCATCCCCACAGCCCAAGAGACGTGGCTGGGGCTTCTGACCATCATAGAGCACACCCTGAATCACCTCTACTGAGCTGACCCTTGGACACCCTCCTTGTCCTCTCTGGCCCCACCCAGGCAACCAAATAAAGTTTGAGTGTACCAGGAACAGAATCTTGGGGCTTGCATGTGGAATGCATGTGGCATGTCTGCCTCGTCAAGCTGGGGCAGAAGTGATTTAGTTCCTGCCGGCCTCACTGGGAATGTGTGGGTGGTTGGGCTAGATGACCCCTAAATTCCCCTGCATTCCGAGGTCCTGTGAAGTCATATCCAAGTGGTGTCTGTTTTAATTAGACCACCCCGAGCTCAGCTCACCAGTGGGATGATTTGTTCATACCTTAGTAGCAAGCAGCAGCCACAGCTGCTAACCAAATGCCTGGCACCCCACAGTGGCATGGAATTCAGCGTGTACAAAGGTCTAGCGAGCTGTGTCCATTCATCTATAAAAGCAACAACCTGGAAGATGAAATATAATCATCCAGGTGGCCACTGCTGTCCAAAATAGCTGTTGCAGCCAAGTAAAACAGATTACTAAAGAGTAAAATATCATCTCCCATTCCTGAATCAAGTTGGAAGAAAACAATTGGGTTAAATAAAATCATTAACTGAAGATAAAGAACCAATCCAAAGGCTAATCCCAAGACATTTTCAATTTTTTTGGTAGAGACAGGGTTTTGCCATGTTGCCCAGGCTGGTCTAGAACTCCTGGGCTCAAGCAATCCTCCTGTTTCAGCTTCCCAAAGTGCTGGTATTACATGAGAGCCATCACATTTGGCCAAGACATTTTATTAACTACATAAATTAACTGTACCTTCTGAAGATTTTGCCTTTAGGGACAGAAGTCATCTACTTCTCATTTGCCACATCCTTCCCAGCATTTTGGTACACAGTTCTGCTGGCTCGTGTTTCCATCCACCCCACTCCTTCCCATTCTCCTGTTGAGACCACAGCTCCAAGGATTTAGCTTCCTTTCTTCAGTTTGGTGATCCTGATGCATGTGATATTACAATTAGCAGCACACAGGACATCCCAACTTGTTTCAAAGCAAGAATCTCCCTTTTGGGCTGTGGTGGCTCACCCCTGTAATCCTAGCACTTTGGGAGGCCAAGGTGGGTGAATCACTTGAGTTCAGGAGTTCAAGACCAGCCTGGCCAACATGGTGAAACCAAGTCTCTACTAAAAATACAAAAAATTAGCTGGCTGTGGTGGTGCACACCTGTAATCCCAGCCACTCAGGAGGTGGAGGCAGGAGAATCCCTTGAACCAAGGAGGTGAAGGTTGCAGTAAGCCGAGATGGTGCCACTGCACTCCAGCCTGGGTGACAGAGTGAGATTCTGTCTCCAAAAAAAAAAAAAGTTTTCCCTTTTGTTTCTTCCATATTGCTTCAGATGTGAATGTGGAGCAGGGGGTCCTCCCAGGCTCTGCTGGGGGAGTAAGTGGACTGGGGCTGGGTGAGGATGGCAGCTTCTCCCTCTATCAGCCAGGTCAGGTTTCAAGAAGCACCCAGCTCCATTGACTTGAGTCTTGTCCACATAAAATGACCTCAAGGTCAAAAATGCCTTTAAAAAAAAACTTTGATGGAATTTTCATGTTGGGCTTTTATTTTATTATTGCTTTTGCTATCAACATTCTAAAAAAAAAAAAAAAAAGAATGAGGGTTGGGCACAGTGGCTCACACGTGTAATCACAGCATTTTGGCAGGCTGAGGCAGGAGGATTGCTTGAGCCCAGGCGTTCTGCCTGGGCAACATAGCGAGATCACCCACTTCTCTACAAAAAATAAAAAATTAGCTGAGTGTGGTGGCAGGCACTTGTAGTCCCAGCTACTTGGCAGGCTGAGGTGGGAAGAACCCTTGAGCCCAGGAGTTTGCAGTTGCAGTGAGCCATGATGGTGCCCCTGCACTCCAGTATGAACAACAGAATGAGACCCTGTCTCTTAAAAAAAAGAAAAAGAAAAAAAGAACGAGGCTCTATGTATGTAGATATCATTTACATAAACTTATAAGCATGTAAGTTTATGAGACAAGGTAAAATGGTGTTTCAGTCTTTACAGAAAGATGACCTAAACGATTTGGTAACACCCTCTTCAAGTTATCTTTTAGAAAATGTTTCCCTTCAATCTATGTAACAAGAGATTACACCTCTTTTCAAAACCCATTTTAACTGCTTAGCTTGGATGAGTAGGAAGCTGATCATCTTTTGTTTAATGAAGACTGATAAGAGAAGAAATATTGTTAGCATGACAATTTATCATTTTATAAAACTGGATCACTAGACTTTGATGGTAGAATTGCTGAATTTCAAATAAATTATGCTCCCTGACAGCAGGGACCACGTTGTTTGGCATTCACTCTCTAATAGCATTAATAGTACCTGACACATAGACGCCTAATACATACCTGTTGAGTGAATGCTCTCTATTTTTATTAGTGAATTCATACATTTTATGATCTGTATGTTGTAGGCTTGCCGAAAATACCCTGTGCAAGCTATTCTGAATTCCCAGAGTTGAGCAAGTAAGTCTTAAGAAAGCCGAAAAGTCAAGTAATGAATGTAAATTGCACAAGGGCAAGGATTGCTTTGTTTTGTTCACAATTTTAACCCCCACTGCTTGGCCAAGTGCATAGCACACAGTAAAAATATTGCTATTAACATCAATAATAATAAATGCTTGGCCAGGTGCAGTGGCTCATGCCAATACGTTGAGAGGCTGAGGTGAGAGGATTGCTTGAGCTCAGGATTTCAAGACCAGCCTGGGCAACACATGGAGACCCAGTCTCTACAAAAAAGCAATTTTAGGCTGGGTGTGGTGGCTCATGTCTGTAATCCCAGCACTTTGGGAGGCCGAAGTGGGTGGATTGCTTGAGGTCAGGAATTCAAAATCAGCATGGCCAATATAGTGAAACTCTGTGTCTACTAAAAATACAGAAATTAGCCAGGTATGGTGGTGCACGCCTGTACTCCCAGCTACTCAGGAGGCTCAGGCATGAGAATTGCTTGAAACCAGGAAGCAGAGGTTGCAGTGAGCCAAGATCCTACCACCGCACTCCAGCCTGAGTGACAGGGGGAGACTCCAACTAAAAATAATAATAATAAAATATATTTAAAAATAATAAATGCTTATTAAATGGAGACATGAAAGTTGTTTTTTTTTTTTTTGGTAATTTCAAGCATGGGAAGAGATTTACATTTTGTTTGTAGATTTTCTTTTTTTGAGGCAGTCTCGCTCTATTGCCCAGGCTGCAGTGCAGTGGCATGATCTTGGCTTACTGCAACCTCCACCTCCCGGGTTCCAGCAATTCTCCTGCCTCAGCCTCCTGAATGGCTGGGACTACAGATACATATTTTTACAAACCTATGGGTGAAAACATTTAAAATTTTTAAGTAAAAACATAAAGCTAAAAGACAATTTTGGAAACATTGCAACTTCAAAATTAAAGTATTGATATTAAAATAAATATTAATAACTTTGAGGGGTTAAAATAATAAAAGGAGTTAAAGAAAAAGACTAAGATTTCAAAGGAAAAATAGGCAATCCCCCAAAGAAGAAAAACAGACAAATCACTACATGTATGAAAGATACGGATCCTCTAAGTGATTTCTTGTTCATTAAGGAGAAATGAAGATATTTTTCTCTCATTAGATTGGCAAAGAATAAAAAAAGACTGATGACTCCAGGGTTTAACATACGGTGCTGGTGGGGCAGAAATTGGCACCACCCTCCTGGAGGGCAAATTTGGCAATACAAATCAAAATTTTAAATGCATTGTATCTTTAACCCAGAAAACCCACTTGGAAGAATTTATTTTATAAAAATATTTGGATGGGTTCAAAAATATTTATGTACAAGATTGGAAAAGGAAACAATAAAAAGAACCTAGATAATTCCCTGTCTTGATGCTGACCCGCCACATCCACACACTGGAACAACACGCAAACATTAAGGGCTGTGTTGACATGGAAAAATGTCTGCAATATACGAAGTGAAAGAAACTGGATGGAAGTGTTCTAAAACTGGATTGTGGTGATGGCTGCGTAATTCTGCAAACTTACTCAGAATCATTGAATTGTACACTTAAAATGGGTGAATTTAATGGTATGTGATTTGTACAATACAGTTGTTTTAAAAAAGCTGAATACAAAATATTGAATCCAAATCCCATTTTGTTTAAAAGACACACACACACTCTCTCTCTCTTCCTGGAAGAATGCAAGGATATATACCCCAATAATAATTATAACTAAGAAGTTGTGGTGGTAGTTTTCCTTTTTATATGTCTCAGCATTTCTTGTAATGAGCTTTTATAATCAGCTTTTATAATAGGCAGGGAAGGAAAGGAGCTATTTCAAACACAGTGGATAACCTGTGTGTAAAGTTATCTAACATCAATTTATTATCAACATCGAACAGCTAAACAGCCACCTTAGTTTTTGCTCAGATTCTTTTTTAAAATTTGTCTAAAATTTTATTCTGTTCTAGTATCATATTTCATCATCTTGCCCAGAATTGTCTTATCTTCAGAAAAATTTACACTCCAAGATACAGCTGGGAGCAGCAGTGTTTCTACCAAAGGAAGAGATTCTCAGGTCACGCAGTCGGGGGCCATTCCCCATCCTACACCCTGTCGCAGCTTGATGAAAATTCCCAAAAGCCTTTCCTGCTCACATTCAGTTCTTGTAACAATCTTGGGAATTGATTAGGCTAATACCTATTCACCAGGGCCTTTCAAAATCTTATTTTCGAATGAACTCATTTTACTTTTTACTTAAACAATGACATACGGTCTCTAATGGCCTGTGGGCCCAATACTGGTGGTCCATGAGAATCCTTAGGGTAGTGTCTTGAATTAACACTCAGATATGCACGGCTAGCTTTCTGTCTTTGGCCTAAAGTTGAAATGGAAATGTCATTGAATACACTCCAGATATGACCTCATTGGTCCTTCATTCAGTGCAGGGCGATTCATCATCCTGGCAATTGTTTTGCAAGGGCAAGTGGGACAAGGTGGATCTGGAGACGCACAGGGGCTCTGCTTTAAGGACTACAGCAACATCATTCTGTGAATACATTGAGACCCGGATGCCACTCAGACAAAGCTGAGATGACCAACCATAACATTTAAATTGGCCAAGTCAAGGAGAAGCTCTTGGAAGAGCACAGAGCATCCATCATCAAATCTAAAAAACTATCAAAGGGTAATGAATTCTTCCCCAAAGCTTTCAGGATCTGCATTCATTTGGCAACTCAAATGCCGAGCATCATCCAACAACCTCAGAGACTGGGATTGCCAAATGTTTATTGCCAAACTAAAAGGAGAAAATTAAAAGTCTTCTGCCTAACCACAGTAGTGGTATCAGCTACAGTTTTAGAAGAGTGCAGTAGAATAAGGGCTCTGCTGACAAGGACTGGGGCAAGGAGGTTTCCCATTTCCCGCAGGAACTCAGGCCTATAGCCATCACCAATTCATGCAACTCACGTTTCAGCCTAAACCAGAAGCATCACCACAAAAGAAAGAAAAGATCAGGCACAAATCGTATTAATATGCTTTACTGAATGAATGGCTCGACCTATCAGGAAAACAACCTACTTTTTCCCCCCACAATATGATTACAAGTTTGTAACTCTCATTCCTTAAGTGGTACTTCTCAAGGTGTCCATTAACAGACAAAAAAAACCTTGGAAACCCTGGAGCATCTGTCTTCAAGATAGGACACCAGACACAGGCTGTGGAAATGTGCAAATACATATTCCCCAGAGCGGATGTTTCAGTTCCTGAATTTCCATCGCCTTTTGTGCAGGCAAGCGGAGGAAAGTTTTCAAAAGAATCTCAGGTGACTTGGACAGAAAGGGAGCCAATAGCCAAGGGAAAGGTACATTTTCACAGTAAATTAGAGGCATCACCAAGGGAGAACACGGTTGTGCCCACCTGGAGTGAGAAGCATGGAGCAGAGTGGTTAAAAAAACCTCTGGAGCCACAGTTCTCAGGCTGGCTCCTGGCTTTTTTTGGTTTGTTTTTGAGACAGAGTCTCACTCTGTCCCCCAGGCTGGAGTGTAGTGCCATGATCTTGGCTCACTGCAGCCTCTGCCTCCCAGGTTCAAGTGATTCTTCTGCCTCAGCCTCCCAAGTAGCTGGGATTACAGGCACACACCACCACACCCAGTTAACTTGTATTTTTAGTGGAGATGGGGTTTCACCTTATTGGCCAGGCTGGTCTCGAACTCCTGACCTCATGATCTATCTGCCTCGGCCTCCCACAGTGCTGGGATTACAGGCGTGAGTGACCACGCATGGCCAGCTCCTGGCTTTTCAACCCCCTAGCTCAGAGACTGAAGGCAAACCTGAGTTGCTTAATTTCTACCCGAACCTGTCTCCTCATCTGAAAATGGGGTGCCTGCCTCATCAGACCATTGTGGAAATTAAATGAGTCAGAACACACAAACATATAATGAAGAATTTAGGAGCAGAGTAAGCTCTCCACAAACATTAACTACTATTGTTATTTTCTGGAAATCTTCAAGATTTGAAACAAAAGAGAAAAGTAACCCACACTTAGATGGGGGGGGGGTGGTTTGTAACCTGTGCATGCTGAATTCTGAAGGATACTTTAAGCCTGACAGAGACAGCTAGGGTAATAACACCCCCAACAGCTCTCTGGGTACTTCCTTAGAGAGAGATCTAAAAACCTCAGGGTTGTGGATGCCTCGCCTAAAAAAGCAGGATACACAAGGGGGTCAGAGGCTAACAAGCTTCTGGGTCTCCAGAATGACAGACTAGCACTGGGTGGTCACCACAATGGGCATCGCATCCAGACTTCAATCTTGACGGGTTCAATTCATTTATTCATGAACACTTATAAGGGCCACTGTCATAGGGTCGGTGATTTTCACCCTCTGGGAGCTTATAGTCAAAATAATTTTAATAGGAAGACGTATTGATATCCTTTAAAAGATGTAGCCCCTCAGTCAACAGCATTTCAGAAGTGGCCTCTCTGCCACACGTTTTGCCAGGTACCTCAGGACGTTACACAGGTAAGAATTTGCTGCTGCATAGAACAAAGAGGCTCAGCAACAGAGAGGGAGGCCATCAGAGGATGGTAATGTGACAGATACAGTTTTGAAAACATAAAATCATGCACTGTATCCTGTTCTGCCCGAATTCAAGGCTGACAATTTTCCATTACTTTTTTAATGTTGTAATTGACCTGTGTATTCATTTAAAGATGTCATAATAATAACTTCAATAATTATTGTAAGTCTAGGAAAGTATTCCTACCCAAAGGTATTCTGAACATTTTGGAAGCACAATGTTATTTATTGCTTTTGCAAGAAAAAACATTTGTTAGTGAATAAATTAATGAACTGCATGTAAGTACTCAACATGCTCACATAATTAAACTGGTGAATTACAATCCACACGTTTCTGGTGTTTCCTGGGGAGAAAAAAGCATCGTGGGAGTTAAATCTTGGGAAGAAAACAAATGCACACGAAAGACACTGAGAACATTTTGGAAGTGGGGAAAGAAAGGTTCTTAATGATTATCTTCAGAGTAGGGCAAGAAGGTAGTCATGGATTGAAATCCAGGTGGACAGAAACTAATTATTTGCTCTAAAAAAGTCAGACAACATAAAAGACAAAATCTATAGCCAATAAACAACAGGACAGAAACCAAAAACAACACAAGAAAAATTACCTACATATTTCTTCCTGGCCTAGGACTCTGATTTTACTTACATTCTACAGGAGAATGAGAGACAACACGGTTTTTGTTTTGTTCTGTTTTCTTGGTTGAGTAGCCTAAAGTCTTAAGAATTGTTGTATAATTTAAATAGCACCACAGGAAAAATCCCTGAGCAACTAATGAATGTTATTTGTTCTCTTTTCCTTCTGATTTATACCAAGCCGAATATGACTGGTTCTGGTTAACTACTAAAGGTTAAAAAAAAAGTAAGATAAAATGACTTGCAGGCTATTTAAATCATTCTATACTTTTCAAGAGACTGATACAGCCCAGGGTGTTCCTTTTGCTTTCAAATAAATAATGTAGCTTTCTCTTCTCTCCCTCCCTTTCTGCCTCTCTTCTTCCTATTTCCTTGGTTCTTTCCTTCCTTTCTCCCTTCCTTAAATACAAACCCCTTTAAAGCACTGAAGGTATTATTTCAATTTGGCTATCACTGCTGTTCAGGTGGAGCTGTAGTTGTACGTGGATGAAGCACCTTTCATCTCAGGGTTCACAAGTCCCAGACAAGGACAGCTAGTCAACCTCTGAGACACTGGCAGAAAGCCATGATCCGGTTGTTGAAGGTGGCTTTGGTCCCAACCTGGGCAGGAAAAGAAACCCAGGCTTTCTAAATGGAGAGCTGAGGTCCCCTGACCTAACAGGACTGATTTCCTGATTCATTTATTGTTTTAAAAAATGCTTTTCTAGGAGATGCAGTAAAAATCACACCAGTCTCCTGTGGCTCCCCCAAATCATCTTGACAGAAAAGAAGAGAGAAGTTGGCAGTTTTCAGCATATTAATAGCAAACGACAAATTAATAACTATGTACTTTAATCTTCAACATTCATAATTGCACAAAGCATCACTGGTCATTTAAATAATACATGTCAATTAATCTAATGAAGAAACCGGTAAAGCAGAATGTTAAAAGCAATACCTCGAGCACATAAAGAATGACAGTAACATTTAACACGCAAAGCGCAGAATTAGAACAGCTCTTTTGAGCATGGTTATTTAAAATCCTTACCAACAGGGCAAAGAAAGCACTATGGAGCAATACACATAAATATATTCAACTTGCCAGATCTCTCAGGTGAGTGCACAGCAATTCTAATAGGTCTGGCTAACCTGGCTTTCCACATATATACGGTGGCTTCTCACACTTCAAAGTTGTCTGACAATGGGAATGCAGAATTGGAACAAGGCGGGACGACCATTTACTTTCAAAATAGAATTCAGCAGGGAAGTCTCAAATCCTGACAAGTCACCTTTAAAATGGCATAACCAGAACTGTGTTACAGAGAAAAATATTTTTTCCTTAAAAATGTGTATGTGGCAAAAATGGCTGAAAATCTTGTCCATGTTAGGGGAAAGCTGAGTGTGGAAAAATGTGCATTTTTCTATCTATGCTGTAAAGAAAATAAAAAGCCAGAGCATTTTGGCATTAGCAAAGGCTGAACTAAGTTCTCAGGCAATAAATTTATGGGGAAACATGACAGGCTTCTCATTAAAGCTATGTGTACGTTGGCTGAATTTTATACAAGATTCTTGAATCTTGTGGAAAACTGGGCATGGCTTGACATCTGAACAATGTCCCTGGTTTGTTTGATTTTTAAAGTATCGGAAAATGTTGGACTTTGGAAATCAAGTAGAGAAGAATAAACACACTCTAAAGCAGAACTGGGCTGAATCTGAAAGTTATTTTTCCATATGTCTCTATAAGATATTTATTACGTTTATTTCTCATACAATCAGCCCCCATGCTAGAAATACTGTGGTACTTTTTTTTTTTTTTGGTGGCAAGAAAATAGTACTGTTAAGGCCAATCTTACCCCGCAGCAGTTACCAGCAGGACAGGCAATTTTCAGTTGGCTTTTCAGAAGCTGGTTGCCATGACGAAGAGCACAATTTATTCCTCAGTCCCTTATCACAGCTACGATCACAGACCATAAAAATTAACACGGCTCTTTTCCTTTCCATATGATTTCAGAGTTCCCCATCCTTACCTGAGGCCTTTTGTTCCCCCAATTAAATGGAATGAATGTCAGTCATTTAGCAATTCAATTAATGCTGATTCAAAATTCCGGCCAAAACCAGAATCTATAATCACAACTTCCTAATCACAGCTCAGTCACAAGAATGAAAAGTAAGCAGGAAATTGCACTAATTACTCAATTAGACTAATACTGTATTTCTAAGCAAGGGCTTACGAGGTTGTCAGCCCTGACAAAGGACTTTGGAGCCTTTTTCACCTTGTGCGTCCACAGTTGTCCAGACAAATCTCTATTTTCAAGTGATCATAATTTTATCCATCTAACGTGGATAGATTGAAGCTGGGCCACGGGCATTATAACTGCTATACAGACCACAAGTGAGGGCCACTTCTGTGGGCTTCAGAGGGCTCTCAGCACAGGCCAGTGCAGTGGCCAGGGCTTTCTTGTGAGAGGCCCTCCTTCCCGGTATGAAAACAGAAAGTGCACACCTTTCTGGCTCCAGGAAAATACCTAATGAGGGGAGCATTCTGTGAGCGTACAGCTAGTCTCCTCATTTTACATTTGAGTCACGCACACAGGCGCTGGTTTCCAAACTCAAAACAGGGCCTGCAATATGCTGGGCAGACAGCTCCTTGCTGAGTGAGCTCCTAGTGTGGGGCCTGCAGGTGGCTGGAACCTAAGGCTCGTCTGCACTGCTGGGAACAGCTTCTCACACCCACACTGCCTGGAGAAGCCTTCATGAAGTCAAGAACAGTAAATGAAAAGGCAGTCAAGAAGAGCACATGGGCAGATGTGACTGAACTATTTACAAAACAATGAAGAGAGACCCAGCAAGCTGGACCTTATTAAAAAAACAACTAAAAACGTAGATCCTTTTTTTCCATAGTTTCACAAGACGTAAATATGCTGTAAACAACAGGGAAGACAGTAGAGCCTGTCACAACTCTGGTTTTTGTGGCCACCTGCTAAAATCCTTCCTGAAGTGGCCGAGGGGAGAGGAATCAGAAACAGGGAGAGGGAAGAGGGACTATCCCATGCATCTATCACCGTCTTTCCTCTGCAGAAGTTTCTGGAAATGACCCAACGTGGGAAATGCTCAGGGGTTCTGAAAAGAGGACAAACATTTATTTGCCTAAGTGAGACAAAGTCTTTACTTCCAGGGTTTGCCTTGCAGGTGGCCACTGCTGAGGGAGCGGGGGTTTGAGTGGCTGGTGGGGCCCCCACTGGGCAGATTCTGAGCGCTTCGGGCACCAGGCACCTTGGAGTCTCTTCTGGAGGAGTTAGCTTGGTTCAGTCGACCTGAAGGAGCAAGAAGGAAGGAACAGAACTGCAAGAATGATTCCAGGGACAATCTGCCAAGTACAGTTTTAAGCTAATGAAGTCCTAGCCTATGACCACTTTTAAGCTAATGAAGTCCTGTGCAGTGTCTACTTAGGCCAGTGATGACCTACTCCTCATCCTTGAGATCAGCCTGAAGGTGGGGAAGGGGATAGGAATGAAGGGAAACCCAGACAGGTTTTTTCCCTTCGTCTCCATTATCCCCAACAAACTTTGTCTTTCCTTCAGTCCTTCATTGGTAGAGAGGATGCAGATGAGGAATGATTAGGGGAAAGAAAAGAGAAAGCAGTATGATGAAAGTAAGGTAGGAAGACAAACAGAGGCTCTCAGAGTGGAGAAGTAGAAGCAGCAAAAGGAATAGAAAACTTTCCAAGAAGGAATCTGAATGCTTGATGCTTAACTTCTCAACTTTGCTTGAGATACACTTTTTGATGAAGTCTCTTCATTTTTGCCTGGGCGCAGTGACTCATGCCTGCAATTCCAGCACTTTGGAAGGCTGAGGCAGGCGGATCACTTGTGGCCAGGAGTTTGAGACCAGCTTGACCAACATGACGAAACCCTGTCTCTACTAAAAATATAAAAAAATTAGCCGGGCGTGGTAGTGGGTGCCTGTAATCCCAGCTACTTGAGGCTGAGGTGGGAGAACTGCTTGAACCTGGAAGGAGAGGTTGCAGAGAGCCAAGATCATGCCACTGCACTCCAGCCTGGGTGACAGAGTGAGACTTTGTCTCAAAAAAGAAGTCTCTCTACATTTTGATAAAGTCTCTTTTCAGTGCTAATTCTTGCCACTATCTGGGATCACCTCTACTGCCTCCCCTCCCCAGCACCTACCTGTAACACACCTCCCCAGTATTTTAAGAATCTAAATATAGGAAATGAAGGTTTTCATATGATGAGGTGATATTCAAAGCTGCAAACCTCAAACTCCACAGAAAACAATATCTTTAAAGGTCAAAAGATCTTACTAGGATGATCGGCAGGCCCTTGCTCCTCTTCTAGATAATATTCTATCTTTTTTAAGTCTTCTGGGGTAAATCTCCATTTGTTCTCAGCTGGTAGGGGTGGCACTTTGGGGCTGGATCTTTTCCGGGCAGAACCAGGAGGAAGGGCCTGCTGGCAAGATGCTGGCAGGGAACCGGTAATCAGTCCTTCTGGAAATTTCTGAGCTAAGACTTTTAGACCTAGGTTTAGAAAAGCATCAGAAAAAGCTGCATTAATATGGCAAGGCCAAGCCAAAACCTGGAAAGAAGCCTGCATGTCTTCTAATCTCTGGTCATCAAGTTGAGGCCAACACAAGACATGAAATCTTTCTCAACAATTTCATCATTAAGCAAATTACACAAGAAAGTATCTGTTGTTACATGGGATTCTGAGACTTCCACAAGAAATCCTTTTGGTGGAGTCTTCAGCATTAGGGCTTTCTGACAGAGCTCTGAACCAACATTGTTATTTTAGGAATTAAAAACATGTGCTGATGCAGCTAAGGGAAGTTTCACAAAACTCCTGACTCCTTTCAGCCAGCATGGCTTTCTCTCTTTCCAGAACACTGAATTCTGAGCACCAAGAGAGAAAAGGTGATGCACGTGGGACTGAAGGATGATCGGCCTTTGAAGTCCCAAGCAGAGTACCACCTTGCTCACCTCCAGAAAGCATGAAGAGGTTTTCAAATCCGCGCTCGCACATGGTGGTGGCCGCCTGACTGGCCAGCCTTTCATCGTCGTCATACAGAATGATGATCTTGCCATGGGCATTTTTCTAAGAGTCAGATGAGTTAAGGTTCCAAGGCATTAAGCTGATGTCCCAAGACTACCAGAAACCCCCAAGGAATAAAAGGACCGTCAGGTCCACCTGTCTGAGTTCCTGGGAATGATGGACAAGGCCATTTCTACCCTCACAGCAGGGACTGGATTGTTTCCCATCATTGAAACCACACAAGCTGGTATTTGTTTCTTTTACAGACTGATGTTACCGTGGTCTAAAAGACAGCACTAGTTACGGACTTCATATCCTTTAGCTCTCTTATCCCTATCACCCTGGAAAGTAAATATTATAATCCCCATTTTACAGACAAAGAAATAGAAAAACTTCTATGCCTAAAGTGTCCACTGAAGCCTTATTTATGATAGTAAAAACATGGGAGCTACCTAAAAAAATCTAAAATTAAAGAAGAGTTTAGTAAATCATAGTAAATCTGAAGATACTACATAGCACCAAAAATGCGGTTTACAGAGAGCTTGCATTAGCATGGGAAAATATGTTGGAATATGAACTGAAAAAAAGCAGGATACTAAATTACATATACAGTAAGGTTTCAACTTTGTTTAGAAAAAAAAAAAACACCACACAGAAGACAGTCTAGAATAAAATATACCAATAATGTAACAGGAGCTACTGCTCAATTGTGTGATTATTTCAATTGTGTGAGAGATTTCAATTTTCCTTTTTAAATTTTTTTGGTATTTAAATTATTTTCTGCTTGTATAATTTTTATGAATAAAAAGTTAAAATTTTAAAAGAAAAATTAAAATAGAAAAAAAAAAAAACCTAAGTTCTGCTATGGAAAGTTTTCTGGGAGGAAAAAAACTCTCTTAGGACTAACTCTCGATGGATCATAACTCTTAACCTAATGTTTTTTGGCCCAGGGCTAGATGGTTTGAAAGCGTCTGCCTAAAGAGTCAGGAATCTTGGTGATAGCTAGGAATCCAAATTCTAACATATACTCAGCTGATTAATGTCAAAGGTCCTTCACAGTACTCTTACCAGGAGCATGGTTCACAATAACTTTTTTTTTTTTTTTAAAGTCAGGGTTTCACCATGTTGGTCAGGCTGGTCTTGAACTCCTGACCCCAGGTGATCCGCCCGCCTTGGCCTCCAAAGTGCTTGGATTACAGGTGTGAGCCACCACGCCCGGCCTGTTCACAATAACTTTGTTATAATCCTCATACCACCCAATTCCTTGAAATGCAACAAAGGATACATATTCAAGAATATCATTTGAATAAGGGTTCATTGTTCTAGACAGAGTTGCAATTGGGTAACTGTAAGCTGCAAAGAGAAGAAATAGTTTAGGAAGTCTGTAGTTCTCTTAATACAACTTGGCCTCAATTCCCAGCTGGTTTGAAATCTAAGAGTTCAATACATGTTCAAAATCAACGAGCTGCTGGGCACCGTGGCTCACACCTGTAATCCTAGCACCTTGGGAGGCCAAAGTGGGTGGATCTGAGGCCTTTTGTTCCCCACTTAAATGGAATGAATGTCAGTCATTCCAGGAGTCTGAGACCAGCCTGGGCAACATGGTGAGATCCCATCTCTATAAAAAAATACAAAAACATTAGCCGGGTGTTGTGGCATGTGCCCATAGTCCCAGACACTAGGGAGGCTGAGGCAGGAGGATCACCCGAGCTCAGGAGGGCAAGCCTGCAGTGAGCTACGATCGCGCCACTGCACTGCAGCCTTGGCAACAGAGCAAGGAACTGACAAAGCAAACAAACAAACAAACAAAACCCCAATGACCCATAAACCCAAACACTTCTGCGAAAGAAAAGAAAGAGGACATCATGAACAAAGTATAAAGCTTCACTTCACTGCTTCTGACAGCCACCTGTGAAAATCTGCAGCCTCTCAGAGTATTTTATGGTGGAGCCAACCCTATAGGATTCTATAATGGATCCAGCTAACGTACAGTTTCCTTAACTGTCTGCCATGGGCTGTGGTTCCAGCCTGCCTAGACTCAAGAGCAGGCTCGCTGTTCTTGAGAGTGAGGCACTTCAAAGGTTTCTCTCTCTTACCTCCAACAATGTGGCACTGCTGGTAGGAATCTCTATCACGTACATCTAGCAGCAGGAAGGGGCAGTCAGGATAAGGTTTGTCTTTGGTATTGGGCTCTGCTTTCTTCACTGGCCCTTTGTCTAGATCCAGTTCCCCAACGCCACTGATGACACTGCAAGGGAAAAAGTAGGTCAGCAGAAACTAGTCAGAGGTTGGTGGCTTAAAGGTCGAACGTGTTTCTTCAGAATAGTGAGATGAGTGCTCAATGTCTTTTCAAAGGGCTCTTCAAAGGGAAAGGAAAATCGATGTGGTGTCTCAGTTCTGCCTGTGAATGCAGGATCCTGTGGATTCCTCTTTTACCACACTGGACCCCACAGAGGAGACCCACATGTCCACACTCACCTTCAGACAATGAGTGGCAGTGCATTACATGGTGGACGGGGTAGGGACTGACGGGCACATGCTGCCTCCAGCCACAAGGGCAGATCAGAGGGAGAAAGAGAGGACGAGTGAATCCAGTGGAGCGAAAGAGGAAAGAATACAGTTGGTAGGAAGGAAAAAGGAAAGGAATTTCTTTCTAGGTATTTTATATGTAATGTAAAGTAACAATAATGCTTTATAAATTTCATATATGCAGTCAGTGACCTATCTGCTATGGTCTTGAGTCTTAATACTTCCATAGCCCTCTGTACTTACTTCAGTTTTGTAGGTTACAACATTGAGGTTGACGAGGCTTTAGATTTGGCAGCATTCACAGAGACAGAGGAAGAGCTGGGATTAAAATGAGGAAGCTAACCACTACCACTAACAGTTCTGAATCTAACGTCACTCAATCACTGAAACTGGTCACTGTCTTAATATTATAGGGAAATATGGTAAAAACACGAATCAAATAAGACTAGGTGTTATGAACAAAATGTCAAGCGGAGACTATCCTTACTGGAATAAGAAGATGGTTACTTTCTTAGGAAATATTAAGACACATATGCTAAACCACAGATAAGTATGTAGCTTAGTTCCTTTCCCATAACAGCAAATCAAATTCTGCATTTAAATCCAGTAAACACTATAACTCCATGCTATATAGTGCAAATTTTGTTGACTCAAGGAGAAGAACATCCATTTGATAAGAAACTGCATCCTCAGTGGAAGTCCTGTTGGCCTATCTCTTCTTGAGTGCAATTTTAGAGTACTTTCACAAAAGTAACTATAGTAATATAAAGCTAAAAGAAGAAGAAGAATAGTGAGATGATGATAGCAATTCTTTCTCTGGTAGAACTAATTTCTCTAGTAGAACTATTTTATCAGTCAAAGGGATGAATATCTGCTGAAAACCAGTACTGTCTTATAATCAACAGTTAGTATTTCTGAGAAAGTACTACATGGACTAAAGAACTAAAGTCCATGTAATCCATGAAATAAGGAGGCCCATGACTTAGAAGAAGGAGCAGAAAAATGAAATAAAAAGAAAGAACAGCCCCGTTCAGTTTTAGAATCAACACCAAGTTCCGGTTTTTCTTTTGCACCTAACTCAGTATTGGAGTGCTGTGTCTGGCACTATCACTTCTGGACAGGGACAGGGTACTGTAAACTGCAGCAGCCAGAAAAGGGGAAAAAATCATACTCTCTGAATCAAAAGACAGTATTTGTAAAGCTAATTCCTCGTAACAAACTTCCTTGTAGAAGGGAGAAGAATGGAACTGAGAAATGAAAATTAAACTCTCCTAACAACATATTCACATTAACTCAGGAAGAATGCAGTGAAAAAGAATCAGGAGGTGGCATTCATATAGGGAGAAAGTAGAAGGCTGGGATTAAAATGTGAGACTTTACTCCTGCCAGTTCTGTTTCTAATGAAAAAAAAAAAAAATCCCTGAAATTGGCCTATAGATTAATATAAAGGCAAAATACAGTGAAAATATGAATCAGCTTCGAGTACCTCTGAAGAGTTGAGCGGCTGGAATCCCCAGCTCCCACGTTGTTTATGAACTGCTCAGGGCTTGGTGGCTGCTCACCTGGACTTCCTTTCCCATTGGTCCTGGCAGTGGTTTCAGCATCAGGGTCTGAAGCTATAGAATCATTGTCTAATATTTACAAATGAAGAAATGGTTAGATTGAACCTCAGGATTTGTATTTACTTATTATACACCGAAATTCAGTCAAGAAAAGGAACTCTTATCATCATTATTAAATTGTTGTGAAGTGCTAATGTACAAGCTCCCAGAATGTAATGGACCCCAGACATCCATCCCCAAGACCCTTTCAGGGGATCTGCAAGGTAAAAATTATGCTCAAAAGATGTTACCTTGTCTTTTTTAGTGTGTTTATATTTGCACTGATGGTACAAAAGAAATGGTGAATAAAGCTGCTAGCACCTTAGGAAGAATCAGAGCTGTGGCACCACACTTTACTAGCAATCATTGTATTATTCACTATCACACATGCACTCACAGTAAATAAGTTTGGCAGTCACGCTACAAGAAGGTCCCTGATAAAGCAGTAACAGTTACCATTCTTACTGAATCTCACCTTGAAGTAAGTACATGCCTTTTTAATGTTCTGTGTGGTGAAGCAAGGAGTCCACATACAATTAAGTTTGCTATATACCAAATTACCAGGGTTATCTCAAGGAAAAGTATTAGTGTGAATGCTGAGTTGCAGGCTGAACCAGTAACTTTTGTTATGCACAGTATTTTTGCTTGGAAGAAAAATTGACAGAAAAACTACGGTTAGTTAGACTTGTGTATCTGGCAGACATTTTCTCAAAAACGAACGAAATAAGCCTGTTATCTCAAGGAATATTATTGATGGCATTGTTGCCAATGATTGTATTTGGGCAAAGCTCAGAATTTTAGAAACTGTATTTGCCATCAGGACCTGAAGTATGGGGAGCTGCTTCCCATCCTTACAGACTTTTCTGGTAAGATAGATAGAGAGATTAATATGTGCAATTTTTTTGACAGTTGTATAATAAAATGCATTAACGTTCGGGAAGATCTTTGTAATTCAGTGAACCAATATTTTCTAAATGGCCAATGCATGATGTTATACAATCATGCATGGGTAAAAGATTCAAAGCACAAGATGGTTACACTGAAAGTGCCTGATTTTAGTCTAACAGAGTATGAAAGATTCATTGATATGATTTCAGATTTTTACATTACAGCTAACTCTTAAGAAACTAGCCGCTGTCAAGTTTTATCTGAAAGGGCCATTAACACACTGCTCCTTTTCCCACCTACTGGTTTGTGTGAGCTGATTTTCCTCATACGCTTTAACCCAAACAGCATATCGCAACATATGCTGCAGAAGCAGAGAGGAAAATCAGCGACCCTTTCATTAAACCAGACACGGAGGAGATTTACAAAATATGTAAAACTAAAGGCGTTCTCAGCAGTTTTGTTTTGAAAACAATGCTTTTTTCATCAAAACATGTTATTTATGTTTGTAATAGGTTTAGTATTGTTATTTTTAAGTGAAATAATAAATATTGTTTCAGTTCCCAGCCAGGTTAAATTTTTAATACACTAAATATCAATAGACATAAAGCACATAAACCAAAGCTCTTTGGGATCTTCATTAATTTTTAAGAGTGTGGAAGAAGAGACCAAAATGTTTGAGAGTTTGCTGTCCTAACCAATACAATGAGCTTTTAAAAAATAACAATAACAGGCCGGCCACTATGGCTCACACCTGTCATCCCAACAGTTTGGGAGGCCGAGGTGGGTGGATCACTTGAGGTCAGGAGTTCAAGATCAGCCTGGCCAACATGGTGAAACCCTGTCTCTACTATAAATACAAAAAATAGCCAGGTGTGGTACCAGGTACCTGTAATTCCAGCTACTCAGGAGGATGAGGCAGGAGAACCACTGAACCCAGGAGGCGGAAGTTGCAGTGGGCTGAGATCGTGCCACTGCACTCCAGCCTGGGCAACAGAGCAGGACTCCATCTCAAACAAAATAAAATAAAATTAAAATTAAAATAAGTCTAATTATTAAAGAGGATATTAAATTTATTTTGCATATCATATGATAATATACCTAGAAATTTTAAGAGTATATGAAAGTAAGTGCAATAAATTTTTAAAAATGCTAAAATATTTTTCGTATCTACCAATTAAAAAATAACATGGAAAAAATCTCATATACAGTAACGACTACAGCAATAAAATGTAATCTCCAAGGAATGAACCTAAACCAAATGTAAATAACCTATAAAAATGTATAAACACTTTTTAGGACTTATAAAAATTTTACTTAGAGCCCTTAAAGAAGACCTCAATGAAGACAGTGACACACCCTGCATATTCCTGATTGGGAAACTAAAACTAAAATGTTAGTCCCTCCCAAATTTAACTTTTGGCCTTAATACTAATCCCAAAGGAATTTTTTAAAACTTCCAAGGATTTAAAAAATACACTCCCCCCCCCACACACACATAGTCAAATCCTTTTTTTTCCTATTCACAAGACTGAAATATTCTGGAAGCAATCTACACACATGCGTTTTTGATATGTTGGTTTTTTATATGTATGAGGAAATAGGAAAATACATGTATATGCATACATAATTCGGGGTGATTTGGAGACTCTGCCTTATCAAAGAGTAACATATGTTAAAAAGGTAAATGATCAAAATAGTACAGAACTACAATCAGAACAATGGAATAGAGAACATGGAAAAGAATATAAATAAAGAGTGAAAACATCCATAACCAAATCGGTGGGTAAAGGGAGAACTACTGAGTATATGGTGCTGGGAATATTTCTCAACTATCTGGAAAAATCTAATTTAGACAATCACCGCATGTCATATACCAAAATACATAACAGATAGTTTAAATGCAAACAAGCCAACAGAAGAAAATGTAGGTAAATAATTTACCTACATTGAATTTTATGAGTCTAAAGCAATGAAAGGAAACAATAGTAAAGGCTAATAGATTTGATCATGTGAAAATGCAACCTCATATATATCAAAAACCAACACAAAGAAAATTAAAAGGTGAATAACAAATTAGGAAAAATATCTGTAATACATATGAATTTTAAAAGTTAATATACTTAATTTATAGATTTAAAAATTAACTAGCTCTTTAACATAATGTGAAAAGAGTAAAAATGCAATAGGATCATGTGCACGAAGTAAAAATGCAAACAAGATTAAATTATTAACATGGAAAGGAAGTCTTTTTCCCACTGAAGACATGCCGGCCCTCCTTCTTCCTTCCCCAAGGGAAGTATTAGTATATTAAACACTTCTACGTATTTATGTCTCATTCTAGAAATAAAACATTTACAAGGGCTTGTATATATTTTACTTCTTCCCCCTTTTACGTATCCAGGAGAACTGTATTCATATTATTTTATACTTTGGGTTTTTGTTTTAGTTTTACTTAATAATATAGCCTGGAAATTATTCCAGCTAATCAAGATTTTTCTCATTTATTGTCAAGTTAGTATTGTTTTCTATTGTATAAAGATAATTATTCAGAACTCTTACAAATCAATAAGAAAAAGATGAACATCCTATTAGAAAGAAAAGAAAAAGAGCATGTAAACTCCTTAAAAAAAGAAATATGTATTTATGACCAGTAAACACATATACAATCTTGTTATCAAATAAATAAAAAACTATTAGTCACTGTTTTTCATCTGTTGAATTGGAAAATATTTACAGAAATGATAATTATTCATTTTTAGCTAGGATGAGGAAAAACAGGTCTTCTCATTCACTCTTGGTCAGAATGCAAACAGGTATAGCCACGCTGGAAAGAGGGGCGATCAGTACTGGGTGCCTAAGATGGTTCCACCCTTTGACCCTCTGCAGCAATTTATTTTCAGGGAAAAATCAGAATCATACCAACATTTACATATATACATTATAGCATTATTTTATAAAGGTGAAAAATCAGAAAAAAACTGTAATGCTCAACAAGATAATTAAATTATGGTATATCCAAAGGACAGACATTAGATGACAACACGATCTTTACAATCATGCTTTTGAAGCCATTTTATGACATGGGAAAATATGAATGAAAAAGCAATAATTAAAAACAGCACAATACAAAATTATATACAAAGAATATAGATGTAATTGGAGTGAGGGGTTAGAGAGCGGGACAGTGGACCAAAACATTAACAATTATTATTTATTATTTAATTTTCTTCTTTATATACTTTTTACAGTTTCCTAACTTACTAGAAATACACTTTTAAGTTACGAAAAAGCAATAAACATTATAAAAGGAGATTTTTTTTTAATCCCTTCAGAGATAGCCAATATGCATACAGATACAATCTGCTCCCCAGGCACTCCTGAGTGAGTTATTATCTGTGTAGAGCACTAGAAAAACACTAATATTACTCTCACATTATGGTGTCCTACTTTACAAGAGCCTATTTTGCTGTGCAAATTTATCTCAGAAGAGAAAATTGCATGTGCCCATATGTTCTGGTGCTGCAATCTCAACAATGAATTAAAGGACCAAATCTAGGTGCTTATATAACCCAGTTAAAATTGGGAGTACTTGTATGAGGAGACTCAATTATCTCTGTTACAAAGAGCTCTTATTTCTCTACTGTGTGAGAGGCATCTGTCAAAGATAAATTCCTGTCGTTTTCAGATTCTCTTTATCCTCCCTAACAAAAACCAGCCCAGGGAAATGACAGTTGAGTTGCACAAACCCAGTGTTCAGACTTCCTGAGAAACTTGTCTTGAAATCAGAAGTCAAATTCCTGACCTACGTCAACCTTAACAAAACACATTCCTCTTCAATAAACAGCCACACACTGATTGCTGGGTACTTCAGGATAAAATAAAGACCTTAACCCTGTGTATTCTTTTCATGAGTAGAACTAGAAGGTTTTATTTTCAACTTGGCAATTAAGAAAAGAGATCTGAAGCCTACCTCTCTTTCTAGCCTTATCTCCTACCCAGCGCCTACTCGTCCCTTAGACCACAGCCAGATTGGATGGCTCGATTCCCCAAACATGACTGGTGTGCTCTCCTCTCCATGCCATTCCCAGACTGCTCCTCAGCCTGCAACAGCCTCATCTTTAATTTGTTAAGATTCTACCCCACTTCAAGGCCCAGTTCCAGTGCCTTGAGGAAGCCTACCTCGGTCTTCCATTTTGTTGCTTTTTCAGATGGAGTCTTGCTCTGTCGCCCAGGCTGGAGTGCAAAGGCGCAATCTTGGCTCACTGTAACCTCTGCCTCCTGGGTTCAAGCCATTCTCCTGCCTCAGCCTCCTGAGTAGCCGGGATTACAGGCGTGTGCCACCACGCCTGGCTAATTTTTGTATTTTTTTAGTAGAGACAGGGTTTCACCATTTTGGTCAGGCTGGTCTCGAACTCCTGACCTCATGATCCACCTGCCTTGGCCTCCCAAAATGCTGGGATTACAGGCGTGAGCCAGCGTACTCAGCCGCCTACCTCGGTTTTCTAACTGCAAGTGTCTTTCCTTCCTTGGAATTCTCCCACAATGTCCTGCATCTTTCCTAAAGGCACTTTTTAGAATCCCTTAAGGGTACAAGGAAGGCAGTGAGAAGACCCTGGATGCTACTGGAGACACTCAGATTTGTAACCCAGGCCTCCTCTTTACTAGCTGCATCACTTTGAGGAGGCAGCTTAACCTCTGCAGCTTGGGCCTCTCATCTGTTAAGTGTACCTTCCTTCCAGAGTTTTTGAGAAGATTAAGTAAGAAAATTCATCTGAATTCACCTTGCAATATACCACCAACAAACGATGGTTTCCTTCCATTCCTGCATTTTAAAATTCTGCCACCTTAGTAATTTTGTCGTACTGTTATCATTCAGCCCACCCAACACAGATGTGTGCACGTGCACATATGTAACTGTAAATTTCATGGAAGCAGAGCTGTGTTTTGTTAATCTCTGTAGTCTCATAGCACTTAATGTGTAGGTACACAGAATGCTAAAAATATTAGTTGAAAAAAGTACTTAGTATATTAAACATATCTAAAACATTTAAAGCTGTATAAGTGTTAGAACAAGAAAACCAAATGGCTTTTAAAAATAAGCATTAACAACTAAAGTTTCAGGTAGCATTTCCCTGAGAGTAACAATCTAATTACAAATAGACACATCAAAGTCCCAGTCCCTGGGAACAGACAGCAAATGTGTACAGGGTGAGTGTTTCAGTCAAATGGTCGGGTCTGTTATTTTCCCCACACCCTCAATTCTCATTACCTTCCAGCCTTTGAATCTCCTCAGCTGTCACTTCCAGTGTTTGATCAGAGAGGGAAGCAACTTGGATGACCTGATAGAAAAAGGAATGAAATGTGTGGATGTGTGGATGTTTGTTTGTTTTTAAACAGAGGCAATTTTGTCTGTTACAAAAGAGGAGGAAACAACAAACATCAAAGATCTCTTGTTTTAAGAAGCTGTCAGTGTCCTCACTGAAGACTAAATCTGAGGGCTCCTTCCTTTTGTGTTGGTAATATACTGCAGATGATCATTTCAGAAGAAAAGACACACTTAAAACACTACATAAACTTAGAATGCTAAGAGGATAATTTAGGACAGGAAACATGAATAAGAGTTTAAAACCACATCTGTATATGACCTGGACCAAGCATTGCACATTATTTCTTGAAAATGCAGTACTGACCTACCATGACATAGAATGAGATCGGCAATTCTCCATGCAATGAAGAAATAAATGTAGTGAATATACTGATTACAGTGTTTTTACAATTTAGCTCACAAGACACAAGATTCAACTTGAGTTATGCCAGTAGAACTCTTGCTTGGGAGCTGGAGAGACACCTTCTCCATAATTTTCAAATGAAAGAAGAAAGCGACTTGCCCAAAATAACAAAACAGCTTATGGTAGGATGATTTGGAAAAGATCAGTCAAAGAAAAGGGGAAATCACTTGGTTTCCAAAGAAAAATGTTGAAACAATCCAGGATCCAGAATTTTAGATTCTAAATATTAAATTAAATGGATAAGGAAAAAACCCCTAAACCACAAATTTAATGAATTAAAAGCAGGACGAGCATTTACTTTATAGAATTCTTATCAAAGAAGAGAGAAAAAATTTTCACCATCCTCATGTAAACACACATACCACATATCAATTAATCCTCCCATAGCTGAACAACACACAAAGAATCAGAAGAAACTCCTCTGCAAACATTCCCTAGAGTTGAATTTAGAAATACTCACATAAAGTGATATAAATTAGACAGTCTTTACTCCGCGAAGATCATGAAACTTACCAGCTGGGCAAAAGTTGTAACTTTTAGTCTCTTGAAAAGCTCATCTTTTTTGTACCTATAATCTGAAAAATATGGTAAGACAAATATTTATCTAGATTTACTTTTCCTTTTTAGAGCGATTAATTCTAGTTGTGAAGTTACGTGGTCTTTCAAGTTATTTATATGCTTTTACATCTATTATCTCATTTGATCTTCATGATATCCTCAAACTTAGGTGTGGCAGGTGGTATTATCATCTGTTCAATTTGCTTCCCTTTGCTTCGTCATTAGAAAGCTTAAACTTGAATTTATAAGCCACCTTTGGTCTAGTGAGTTTACCCCTTGCCTGTATTGTATTGGTCTATCATTTTCCTTTAACTAAGCTGTCTCTTCTTTGACTACATTGTACTGCATGCATTTTTGTAAGCCACCTCAAATCCTTTTCAGAGCAAAGCAGGGCCTGTGTTTTATAAATGAGGACAGAGACTCAGAGAGGCTGAGTTGCCCCAGCTCAAACAGCTGGCAAGACATTCATGCCCCATTATTCTGACTCCAGCTTAGAGAGCAGTGATATTCCTGCTATTCCACATTATGTTGGAGCCGCAGGATGACACTTCTATGTGCGTGCTGGGCACACAGTTGTAATTGGTTCTGATCATCTCTCAGCTTCTCTCCAACTTCACTTCATTAAAAAAAATTTTTTTTTAAAGATGGGGTTTCACCATGATGGCCAGGCTGGTCTTGAACTCCTGATCTCAGGTGATCCACTCACCTCGACTTCCCAAAGTGCTAGGATTACAGGCGTGAGCCACAAAAAATTAACCTACTCAGTTTTGCAAGATGAAAAAGTTCTGCAGTTCTGTTGTACGACAGTGTGAAAATACTTAATGTTACTGACCTGTACACTTAAAAACCATTGCAATGGTAGGTGTTATGTGTTTTCGTTTTTGCTGTTTACCACCATTTTACTTTATTTAAACATTTAAAAAAATATTTAATAAATAAATATTTTATATTTATTCTGTTGCCCAGCCTGTCTGTCACCTAGGCTGGAGTGCAGTGGTGTGATCTCAGCTCATTGCAACCTCCACCTCCAAGGTTCAAGGAATTCTCCTGCCTCGGCTTCCCGAGTAGCTGGGATTACAGGCACCTGCCACCATGCTTAGCTAATTTTTTTATTTTTAGTAGAGATGGGGTTTCACCATGTTGGCCAGGCTGGTTTTGAACTCCTGGCCTCAAGTGATCTAGTGATTCACCCGCCTCGACTTTCCAAAGTGCTGGGTTATAGAAGTGAGCCAGCATGCCTAGCCCCACCATTTTAAAAAACAAAATAAAAACCAACTTAAGCCAGATTTGATGGTTTATGCCTGTAATCCCAACGCTTTAGGAGGCCGATGCGGGTAGATCACTTGAATTCAAGAGTTTGAGACCAGCCTGGCCAATATGGCGAAACGCTGTCTCTACTAATAATACAAAAGTTAGCTGGGCGTGGTGGTGCAAACCTGTAATCTCAGCTACTAGAGAGGCTGAGGCATAAGAATCACTTGAACCTGGGAGGCAGAGGTTTCAGTGAGCCGAGATTGCACCACTGCATTCCAGCCTGGGTAAGAGTGAAAAACTGTGTCTCAACAACAAAAAAAATAAACTTAAAATATCAATATTTTTCAGTGCTGTCTTTACAGTTCTGAGCTGTAACTCAAATATAGGTACTTATGCACTTGTGTTAATAATTCTTCCTATCACATTAAACAGTTATTAAAAACTAAGTAATATCACTTTATCTAGTATCTGTTCCATAGATACATGTTAAAGGTTAGCTTCCTTAAACTGTTTTGAAGATGACAGCCAAATTCTGAATGGTTTTCAGTGTTGAACTCTGCCCACCCTCATCCTTTCCTCCTCACCTAGGTTTTTATATTGGTACCCATGACTCCCTAAATGCTGCCTCATTATTTCAGAATTACTAAAGGTTAACTGGTTAACTGCTATGACCTTCACGGCATAAATGCCTCATAAACCAAGACTCCTAGCAACAAAGGAAAGGATTAAGGTATTTAAGATTATTTACCTGGTGTTACTAATCACTTCCATGAATTTTCTAAAAACCAGCACAGACTGGGTGGTTACTTTGGAGGATAATGTACTCTTGGTTTACTAAGCAACTTAAGGCTCAAGAGTCAGGAAATGATACTGCTTTAAAAACTAGCCTTCTGTAAATATATCAAGGCTTTTTTAAAACAAGGGATTAAATTTCTCTGTTCTAAAATGTCTTAAAGAGAGCAGTTTGGCTAATAACAGACTAATACTTCTAAAAAATGCTTAGAGACGCTTCTTCTAGATACAACTATATGCAGTGGAACTTATAAAACCTGCCAGGATGCAGACCCAAATAGGCCAAGCTGAGGCTTTACAAAGCACAACCAAAAAACTACAGTGTTCCTTTTGATTGCCACCAACTTGCCCATCAAAAGTCATATATGCAAACCAAAACAACAATAAATCAGCAAATGGAAACAGCCAACAGCTGTCAAGTAGTTTGCACTGTGACATTTATCCATTGATATTCTTTTGGTATGGTCAACATAGTTTGAAATGCTTCTAGGCATAAAATGTATACTTTAAAATCCTCTTTAACTAAACAGATTCATTTATACAAACATAGAAAGACTGCTTTATTCTAAAGATTGACATTTCTACTGTCTTCTGCACAAGCACTAGAAGCCCCCTACATATTTGAACCTGAACTCTACGTACCTGGTTCTGGTTTAGAAGGGCAGCCATCAGTAGGACTTTCTGACATTATTACTCAGAGATAAAAGATCAAACTAGACGTTTTATGGTAAGTTTAAATTCTTATAAAAAGGATGACTTGGAAGGCTCTGTCAGTCTGTCCTTGCAAGAGCGAACAGAGCTTTAAGAATGGAGCTTCTGCTACTGTGTCTTCTCCCAAACTCTGTGTTGAAGACAAATAATCCTAGTTTCAGATATGTTATCAAGGTTTGCCTCTCCAGTAAGTCTCAGATCTAAGTCTGTCTCTCTCGAGTTACTGGAAGGACAGAGACCTGACTATCTAGGATGTTTCACGCTGGGTCCAACTAGTGTCATCTAATCACCAGAAACCAAGAATGGGCTTTGTAAATTGTCAATAGACACAGAGTATCTATTTTCTACAGGTAGAGTAGAAAGAGTATTCAGATTACAAAGGATTTCTCCATTTTCAGGGTTCTGTTGAAACGCGTTATTAGCAAAGGGAAGTTGGGCTCACAGTGGAAGACGAATCAAAGGAAGTAACAGAACAAGGTCTGGTTTCACAGAAAGAAATGGCATCTAAGGTAATCTGAGTAAAGTGATGGGTCTAGGGTATCATGAAACAAGGGAATATTCTCCCTTTCAACCCCAAAGAATGCTTACAACAGAAAATGGTGAAAGAAAAGGAAATATCTTCCAAAATGTAGATGTCAAATGAGAATCTAGAGCAATTCTGTCAGGGAATCAGCACAAAGTGTGTGAAATGGGGTAACAGGAACCTCCTGCTCTCCTCAAAGGAAGCCCTCCACTCCTACAGAGGGAAAGTGAAGCAAGCATTTTCCAGGCTCTATTCCAAGGGTATTTCTTCTGGGAGGTCACCTCACGTGAGGTTTAGATACTAAAGAAACCACATTGTACTTTGAAGACATATTTTAAGTGAGGTTCTGGCAACCTGGATGGAATGGGACCTTTTTATGGGACAAATTTCTAGTGAGGACATGTGAACTCACACTCAGCTGCAAATGGATGAGAGGTGACAGAGACAACAAACCCAAAAAGAAGCAGCCCAGCTGGATTCTGCCCGCCTTGGATGAGTTAAGGATGGCAACAATGAACTGTGGGTGAGTAAATGAGATCCTTCTCCAGAGTTTAAAAGTATATATTTTATATAGATATTTAAAATGCATATACGTATATAAAATGTTTAGGAAAAAAGAGGACACTGTGACATTACATATTTTTAAGCATGTTATAGCTGAACATGGCAAATGAAAACACAGCATAAAGTGGCTCCTGAGTCCACATCTATTGGTTGGAGTTTCCCAATATTGCAGCAATTCAAATGGAACACTTTGATTTCAAATGAAAAGGTCTGCTGTGTAAAAAAAGAAAATGTTCTGTTGTATTCTGGATGTATAATTTTCTCTTTCAAGAAGATGTACATTACCAGAGCTAAGTCCTGAACTATGATCAATCAGAGTACCTCTTTACCACCATTAACTAAATACTCTTCCTAGCACTGGGTTCTTTTATTCAAGATATGAGCAAATCCATCTTAGAAAACAGATGTTTCTATTTCTTCCCTAATTCTGGCCTTGAAGTGTACACTTTACATGAGTTTTAGATGTAGATTGAAAAATTATGATTTTGAGCAAGGGCAATGCACTCAATGACAGGTAACATATCTCTGCAGATTTGGTTTTTAAAAGGATGCAGATGAAATATGATTTTTAATGAAAACAGACTGCAATGAATTGATAATGCATAACACTAAGTTTTCATATCCCTGTCTTCCATGAATACTCTCATTTATACATACTAGAATGTTCTGAAGGAAGAGATTATTACCTCTATCTCAAATAGAGACATAATAAGACAGAAATGGTGAAATATCTTGAAGAAGGGCATGAAGGCTGTAGTACAATGACACTAGAAGCTTAAACAGAGCTCATTCCACCAGATCTGACTCTACATGCCAACATCAATGTCTCCTATGGTATGGAAGTAGGGCAGAATTTAGGCCCATAGGCCACAATCTGAGGAGCTGCTCAGGATGGCACCCGGGATCTCCCACAGCCCTTGAGGCACCTGCTAGGCTTATCTGCCCATCCATAGCTCTCTGTGCCTATCGGCTGTAGAACACGATTGTTAGTTCAGAACCAACTTATAGAACAACTATAGACTTCCATTTCCCCGAACCATTAAGAGTGTTACTTACTTTTCTTAATCTCTTCTAGCTTCTCAGTATATTTAGTCATACTGTTACCTAAAAAGAAAATAAGGATTTTATATATACTTTAAATGGAAGAAAATGAATACCACTGTAGAAACAGAATGGAGGAAAGATATTCCCTAAGCTTTCCTATCCTGTTCTTAGGGGATTCTGGACAGCAGCTAACAGGCCACACATAGGAAAAATATTTTGGATAATACAGCATTATTAAAGAGCTGAGGGAAATGTTTTGGTAGAATGTGTTTAAGCTGGGGTGCATACCCCCAAAACATTGAAAACTTTCAGGAGATACAGATGATCATTTTTTATCAATTTATTTTTCTTTTTGAGTCTATGCTTTTCTCCTCCTTTTATCTCCCTTGCCCCCTCAACAATCTTTTCGTGGGGAAGATATACAGAAGAGGAGCAAAAAGGAAGCAGTGTTCTTTGAATGCCTAAAATGTGCCTTTGTGGTTACCTAAGCAACCCTCTCTTCTTGGCTTTGTCTTCAGTTTCCTTCTCTTTCCTGAACTTGCTCTTCTACTATTCATGCTCACATTGCAGTCTGAACTAGACTACAGTCTACACACTAGTATTCACCATAGACTTAATGAGAAATAACAGCAGATTCTCACCACTGTGGACAGCCCCCAGCCCTCATGTTTTATAGTATGGTTCTACAATCCTAGGCACTGGCCATGGTGGTTTGGAGGTTTTCAGATTCAAAAACTCAGCCAGGAAGCTTCTGGTTTCCAGCGAAATTCTAGCTGTCAAGCCAGGGGCTATTATTTTTCACTGAGTGTGCTTCGATTTGATTCAATTCAATGCAGCAAGCTCTTTCTGACACCTAAAAGGTACCATTCAAAATAATTTTTCATTTCTAAAACTGTGCTCCCAGCTTTTTAAGCCTGGAGAGGATCTAGTCAGATGCAGCCCCAAGAGCAGATGAAAGAAATGCTTTCAATTAATAGCATGAACTGACATTTCAAGGACTATTATGAACTTCTCTTCATGTTTGGGTCAGAAGCAGAAAAAGAAAATCCTTGCTCTGAAACCCAAAATACATTTTCAAAAAACAACTTATTTCATTGGCTATTATTAAATCTTTACCATAAATTCATCATGGAATAAAAATTGCAATTGTTTTTTCTTTTTTTCCTTCTTTTTTTTTTTCTTTCTTCTCTCTCTTTTTCTTTCAGGAAGGCCTAAGCCTTCTCAAGAGAGACACTGAATACCTCTCAGAAAAGGCCCAAATATCACCAGGATTAGAACCAAATACGGTCTTTCCTAGGTTCTTCAGACTGCAATTGACCTGAGATGTGACCAGTTCTTCAGAGCAGAAGCCACGATTTCTTCCTGGACACACATCCCTCTTGCCCTCTGCAACTCTGAACTCAGATGTAGACTTGCTTGGTCAATACAATGAGGGAAGAAGACAGCAAATCAGTACACTGTTCAGCTTCCCAAGTCTTATTCTTAAAATATTTTACCCAGTAGCTTTAGGTTATATGTCCCTGGGTCACCCACAGTTGCGTGTTGCTGACGTGGCAGATAGTTTATTTTGGCTAGGGAAGCTTCAGGCAGTCTAGTCAGAAAATGAGGGACAAAAAGGATGACTTGATTTATCTGGTGACATGACAAGTTAGTAACTAAGCCAGGATTCACATTTCCAACCTGTTGGAAAACACATGTTTTCCTGTTGTGTTGTTGTAAAAAAAAAAAAACACAATTAATCATGAGATAAATTTGTAGGAAATGCTACTTCCTTAATAGTGAGAGGTGGGGATCATCTTACGTCATAAATTCCCTGAGGAATGAAAAACACTAGCCAACCTTATTTATCCAGTCTTTATTACTGAAACACTGCTTCCAAACCACAGTAGTTTCTACTAACAAAGTGTCTACATTTCATTTCTCCATTAGGGTAATTACATTTCAGGGTAATTACACATAACACTTTATCTTGTATCAGCCAACCCTTACCACAATGCAGAAAGGTAAGGGTAAGCCATCATGCCCACTATTTGTTTTCCCCCTAAAGGAGAAGGCTGAGAAACAAAGTTTTCTGCAGAGTTATACAAATATTTGGCAAAATTCTCAACAAATCTGAGAGGACTACTGATGAGTTCTTTTCAGTAGAGACATTCATTCTATCTGAGAATGGGGACAAAAGGAGAATGGAGGATTTCTGCCTTGCTTTAATTGGACAAATGAGATAACAGGATGGCTGACACAAAAATATCCCTAAAAATGGTTTGAGAAAGCATGAAAAGTAGCATTTTTATTCCACTTTGTACACTGCTTAGATCTTAACTAAGATTGCAGCCTATCTTACTGTATCTAATTGCCTCTGAAAATAGTTTCTGACTACCTTTTAAAAAGATTGGAAATGAATCCATTTCATAATTCACTTACTCATAAACATGGCTTTGTTTTGTACAGAAGGAGCCTAAGACTATCCAAGAACTATTTTTTTTAAAAAATTGAAATTACACATTACTGCCAGATACATTTTCCTAGATAAAACTTTTTGATCGAAAAGAAAAAAAAAGTCAGGGGTTCCCCATTGCTTCTTAACTAAAGCTGAAACTCCTTGCTCTAGCGCTGGATGCCAACTCACTACCTCTTCAATGTTGCCTTAATTACTTAGCTTGACAAACTCTCAGTCTTCCATTCTCTAACGTATCATCTCCCCACATATTCATAATAGCTCACCCAGCAGGAAGTGACCTTTTCCTCCTCTGAGCTATAGCACTCAGCTTATGACTCACAAGGCATTTATCACAGTACTGTCTTACCTACCTTACTGAACACTGAAGACTACTTATGGGCACGTACACACACACACACACACGCACGCACGCACAATCTTTATCCCTTCCACTGCCTAGCATAGGAGACACTAAAAAATATTTGCTGAATGAATGTCAGGTACACTGGCTCATGCCTATAATCCCAGCACTTTGGGAGGCTGGGGAGGCAGGATTGCTTTGAGCCCAGGAGTTCCAGACCAGCCTGGACAATATAGTGAGGCCTCATCTCTATAAAACACACACACACACACACACACACGAAAGTTAGCTAGGCATGGTGGCACATTCCTGTACTCCTAGCTACTTGAGAGGTTGAGGTAGGAGGATCACCTGAGCCCAGGAAGGGAGGTTGCAGTGAGCTAGACTGCGTCACGGCACTACAGTGTGGGCAACAGAGTGAGACCCTATATCAACACAAACAAACAAACAAAAAACTGGCCAGGTATGGTAGCTCACACCTGTAATTCCAGCACTTTGGGAAGCTGAAGCAGAAGGACTGCTAGAGTCCAGGTGTTAAAGACCACCCTGGCCAACACAGTGAGACCCCGTCGCTATAAAAATAAATAAATAAAAAGAAAAAATACGTATTTGCTAATTAAATATATTATAGAGATCTACTATCTGAAAAATCCCTATAATGAGTTCTTTGATAATGTAAATAATCACATCCCAATTTGGTTTGAGTTTCTACACATCTGATTTTCTTTAAATTATGTACAACTTGACTTATATACAGTGTATGAAAAATGCTACGTATATGACTCATATTGCTTCACAAATCAAGCAATCTAGAAATGCAGAAGGTAGTATTTAGCTTCTACTTTGTTTACAGCTAAAGTTGTGATAAAAGATATATAACAAAAGTTTATAATTAGTATCAAGAGGAAGAACAACCCAACTACATCAACAGTGCTATGCAAAGACAGAGTACAACTGATGAAATGAATGACTCATTTGTTTTGTTTTCCTATAATTTAATAACATTATTTATACTGAGCCAATGAGAAAAGCAAGTGATTTTGTGCAGCAGTAGTCTAAAGTGGATGAGATTTATAACGCACAAACTCAGTTGCTAAGAGACAACGCCATGGCTTTATTTTTCTTCAATATTTCCCCCCTTTATGGAGAAGTTCTCTTGGCTTGAAGAGCAGAAAGCATGAAAAGAGGCACAGTGGTCCTTTGTTAACCTCAATAAGTGATATGTGTGTATAGTGCTTTCTGGTTTATAAAAGCCTTTCACATACATTTCTCTCTTTGACGTAAGAAACAGAATTAAACAACAAATAAAAATGAAGAGTACCTAGTCTATAATGAGTCTGAGTGCTTACAATCAAGGCTACTAGCAAATATACAGGAAAAGTAAAGGCCAAAGAAAAAAAGAGGGAATGACTTGTTTGTCTAGAGATAACAACAGGAAGGTAAATTTTTAAAAAGACAAAAATAAGGCTAAAAAAGACCGAATGGAGAAAGCCTACAGAATTTCAGAAAGCTAAAGAAATTGGAAATTAGATTGAATACAGATAGAAATGAGAGGACAATGCAGCCAATGAAAGAGTGTGGGGACAAATAAAGGGAGAGCCCTGTGGTTTGGAAAGTGTCCCTTAATCAGCCTGCAGTGCTGCAAAACAGAAACCCAGAGAGGGTGCTTGAGAATATACAAGAACCCTATGGTGGTGACTGAACAAAACGCAGCCAGGGATTTCATCAGAAGCATAATCCATTCATGGCACAGTCTGGCAGTGCTGGGGAGCTGGTAAGACACACTCAGGTACCTATGGAACAAAAGAAATATAATTCTGAGATTTCTAGCCATGGCTGCACATCAGTATTTGAGTTTGCATGAGAAGCAGAACCAGAGGTTTAAAAACAAAAATAATCTTTACCCAGGAAGAAGATAGCAGTCTTTAAAGAAGTCAGTAGAAGGTGATTTGGGTGAAGACAGGAGATACCAGAAAATTCTTGACTTCTTGTGATTACTCTGAATTGCCTGCTGTTTGCTAAGAAAAGATTAAAGACCCATCTATTTAGCCTAAAAATGAGAAATGCTCACTCACTCCTGTGCCTATTTCCAATGCTCTGATTGCAGAGCTTAAAAACATACCACAGGTAGAAATGCTGTACTCTTACTGGGGCTATAAGGTCCCAAGGTCCCTTTTCTCTTTTCTTTTCTTTTTTTTTAGACAGAGTCTTACTGTTTTGCCAGGCTGGAGTGCAGTGACACAATCTCAGCTCACTGTAATCTCTGCCTCCCGCCTCCTGGGTTCAAGAGATTCTCCTGCCTCAGCCTCCTGAGTAGCTGGGACTACAGGCACACACCACCACACCCGGCTAATTTTTGTATTTTAGTAGAGACAGGATTTCACCACGCTGGCCAGGATGGTCTTAATCTCCTGACTTTGTGATTCACTGGCCTTGGCCTCCCAAAGTGCTGGGGTTACAGGCATGAGCCACCGTGCCTGGCCTGTTTTCTTAACTCCTCACCCATTTCACCTCATGACACACATACAATGATAACATGTAGATAAAATGCTGGGTTTGGGTTGCTCTAGGCCCTGCTGGCTACCCAAAGGGCTGTAGGGATCTGTATCTTGGCACATAATGCATAGGCTGCTGCACACTAGGTAGAAAATATTTTCTGAATACACGGCGCAGTAAGTCACAAAAATGCACAGAAAAACAAGCAATAAAATAAAAATCTTTCCCCTAAATTGACTTTAGAATAATCTCTAAATTTGAAACAACAACAAAAAAATCGAACACTAGAATAAGATTTCTCTCCCACACTGACTTTAAAATACTTTGAGTTTTAAGCAATGAAACACACTTTGGTCCTTCTAAAAGCTTTGTAAGACAAGTTTGGGAGACTTCTGCTTCCAGAAAGATGGGGTAGATGTACTTAGCTACTCCTCCAGCTAAGTAAAAGAAAACCCTTGACAACCCACAGAATGGGAGAAAATATTTGCAAATCATATTTCTGACAAGACTCTAGTATCCAGAATACATAAAATAACTCTTTTTTTTTTTGTGGAGATGTAGTCTCTCTCTGTCACCTAGGCTAGAGTACAGTGGGGTGATCTTGGATCTCTGCCTCCTAGGTTCAAGCAATTCTCCTGCCTCAGCCTCCTGAGTAGCTGGGACTACAGATGCATGCCACCAAGTCCGGCTAATTTTTTGTATTTTAATAGAGACGGGGTTTCATGATGTTGCCCAGGCTGGTCTTGAACTCCTGAGCTCAGGCAATCCACCTGCCTCAGCCTCCCAAAGGGCTGGGATTACAGGTGTGAGCCACCGCTCCCACCCAAAAGAACTCTTATAACTCAACACATAAGAAGAAAAATAACCCAACATAAATATGGGCAAATGATTTGAATAGATGTTTCCCCATAGGAGATATACAAATGCCAAAAAGCACAGGAAAAGGTGCTCAAACATTATTAGTCATTAGGAACGTGCAAATCAAAGCCATAATAAGATACCACTTCGTGCCCACAAAGATGGGTATAATGAAAATGATGGACAATAACAAGCATTAGTGATGATGTGGAAAAAATAGAGCCCTCCTACATTGCTGCTGGGAATGTCTGAAGTGGTGTGGCTGCTGTGGAAACAGTTTGGCAGTTGCTCAAAATATAAGAGTTACCATATGAAAAGCAGTTACCATATGAAAAGCAATTCAGGTCCTAGGTATATGCTCAAGAGAATTAAAAACACATGTTCACACAAAACTCTGTGCACTGATGTTCTTAGCAGCACTGTGTCCAGTAACTGGAAACAACCCAAATGTCCATCAACTGATGAGTGGGTAAACAAAACATGGAATAGCTATGCAACAGAAAATTATTTGGCAATAAAAAGGAATGAAGAACTGACACATGCTACAACATAGATGAATCTTGAAAACATTACATTAAGTGAAAGAAGCCAGACATAAAACGCTACATTTCATGCATCTACATGAAATGTTCAGAAGAACCAAATCCATAAATACAGAAAGTAGACTAGTGGTTACTCAATGCAGTAAATATGTCATTTCTCCTTAAACTGATAAACAGTCTTAATGCAACTCCTATCAAAATCACAGCAATTAAAAAGTAAATGTAAATATGAGTATTCTAAAACGGATACGGAAAGGCAAGGGAATTAGAATAGTTAGAATAGCTAAAATACTTGTATAAAGAAAAAGCAAGGCTGGGCACTGTGGCTCATGCCTGTCATTTCAGCACTTCAGAAGGCTGAGGTGGGTGGATCACTTGAGGTCAGAAGTTCATGACTAGCCTGCCCAACATGGTAGAACGCTATCTCTATCAAAAAATAAAAAAGTATTAGCCGAGCATGATGCTACCCACCTGTGGTCCCTGCTAGTTGGGAGGCTGAGGTGGGAGAACTGCTTGAGCCCGGGAAGCAGAGGTTGCAGTGAGCCAAGACTGCACCACTGTACTCCAGCCTGGGCGACAGAGTAAGACCCTGTCTCAAAAAAAAAAAAAAAAAAGAAAGAAAGAAAAAAAGTAGGCATAGTCAGTCTAACCAATTTTAAGTATCTAATTTACTATAAAGCTATAGTAACAAAGACTGTGGTATCAGCAGAAGGCAGACACATGGATCATGGGATCAGAATAGAGAAACCAGAAATAGACCCATATAAAAATACCCAACTGATTTTTCACAAAGGTGAACACAAAATTAAATGGAGAGAAGGTAACCTTTTAAACAAATGGCACCAGACCAATTGAATATCCATAAGCAAAAACAGTCTTGACGTGAGTCATACCTCTTATATATAAAAATTACCTCAAAATTTATCATGGACTTAAATATAAAACTATAAAACTTTTACAAAAACAATTATGATAGAAAAAAAAATCATTGGGATCCAGGCCAGGCAGACTTTTTAGATTTGATAACAAAATCATGATCCATAAAAGGAAAAGCGGATAGATAAAATGGACCTCATCAAAATTAAAAACTTTTGTTCTTCAAAAGACCCTGTTAGGTGGATGAAAAGGCAAGTTGCGGACTAGGAAAATATATTTGCAAACCATATATCTGACAAAGGACCAGTAGCCAGAATGTGTTAAGAACTCTCAAAATTCAACAGTAAAAAAGCAAACAAACTAATTAGAACATAGGCAAATGATATGAACAGGTATCTCACCAAAGAAGATATACAGAAAACAAGCACGTGAAAAGATGTTCACCATTGCCATAGGGAAATGCAAATTAAAACCGCAATGGGTACTGGGCAAGGTGGCTCAGGCCTGTAATCCCAGCCAAGGCAGGTGGATCACTTGAGGCAGGAGTTTGAGACCAACCTGGCCAACATAACGAAACCCTGTCTCTACTAAATATATAAAAATTAGCCAGGCACGGTGGAGCACACCTGTAATTCCAGCTGCTCACAAGGCTTAGACAGAAGAATCACTTGAACCCAGGAGGCAGAGGTTGCAGTGAGCAGAGATCATGCCACTGCACTCCAGCCTGGGTGACGGTGTGAGACTCTGTCTCAAAAATAAAACAAACCAAAACAAAACTGCAATGATATGCCAACACACAGATATCAGAATGGCCAAAAAAAAAAAAAAGAAGCTGGTGACAATACCAAATGCTGACAAGGATATGGAGAAAATGACTCATTCATCCATTGCTGGTGGAAATGTAAAATGGTACAGTCACTTTGAAAAGCAGCTTGGCATTTTCTTAAAAAACTACATGGGAAACTATGTTATGATCAGCAGTTGTACTCCTGAGCACTTACCACAGAGAAACAAAGATTTCAGTTCAAACAAAAATACGTGCATGAGTGTTTATAGCACTTTTATTTTAATACCCAAGAAGTGGAAACAACCCCGATGTCCTTTCAACAGGTGAATGGTTAAACTTGGTACATCCATATCATGGAATACCAGCCATTAATAAAATGGAACAAGTTACTGATACATGCAACAATGTGGATGAATATCCAGAAAATTACACTAAGTAAAAAAGCCACTCTAAAAGGTTGCATACTACATGATTCCATTTATACAGCATTTGTGAAATGACAAAATTACAGCAATGTAGAACAGCTGATGATTGCAGGGGCTAAGAAAGGGGTAGGAGTAGACCCGGCGTGGTGGCTCAAGCCTGTAATCCCACCACTTTGGGAGGCCGAGGCGGGTGGATCACCAGGTCAAGAGATCGAGACCATCCTGGTCAACATGGTGAAACCCCGTCTCTACTAAAAAAAAAAAAAATACAAAAAAATTGGCTGGGAATGGTGGCGCATGCCTGTAGTCCCAGCTACTCGGGAGGCTGAGGCAGGAGAATTGCCTGAACCCAGGAGGCAGAGGTTGCGGTGAGCCGAGATCGCGCCATTGCACTCCAGCCTGGGTAACAAGAGTGAAACTCCGTCTCAAAAAAAAAAAGAAAGAAAGGGGTAGGAGTAGAAAATAAATGCGCCTATAAAAGGGCAACATAAGGAATCCGGAAATGTTCTGTATCTTGACTGTATGTATCAACATCAGACTGTTGTGATAGTGCATTATAGTTTTGCAAAATGTTACCTCTTTGGGAAACTGGGTAAAGGTTACATGGAATCTCTCTGCATTCTTTACAAAATATATATACGCATTTACAATTATCTTACAATTAAAAGTTTAACAAAAAAGAAGTTTAAAAATCTCAGGATAGAAAAGGATATATGTATTTAATATGTATTATAAAAAGCAGATATACTTTTATTTCAATACCAAAAAAATGAAATTAATCTCAGGCACCATTATTGAGTCAAATTTTGGTTAAGAATAGAAGAATTAAAGAGGAAGAAGGGAGTTGTCATTAACAAATCCCAATTTAATTTCCACGAGAAAAAAAACAAACTATGAAGGCATAGACAAATCTATATATCTGAAATAAACCCCAGCTCTTAAAGTTTTAATTATAAGAAAGCATATAGATTCCAAAAGAAATTCCTTCCTTTTTAGTACTCTGTAAAATAATATCTAAACTCCTCAGGAAAAAAACAGCATTTTAAATCTAGGTGCTTACCTCACAAAATCACTCACTTGAGAAGGGTGGATCACAGTTGCAATTAGGGGTTAGATGGGTAGAGATGAAGGAGTTGAGGGTTTTTGTGGCAGAAGAAATAAGGCTCGGGGAAATGCAGGAACAGTATGGCCTAAGAAACAGTACACCAGACTTGGCACCAGATATCCAGTATTGACTTCCTCATCCTGCATACAATCCTAGTTCTATCTCCATTTTGCACTCTGAATAAATGACAAACTCCCTGTGCCACAATTTCCTCCTCTTCTAAAACAGATAATATTTTCACCTGCCCATCAAACAGGATATTTGCAAGGATAATTACCTGTATGGCATGGAAATGTTTGAATGAAGGGTACCAAGAAATAGCATCTGCAAATGAGGTGAATTTAAAACACTGAATTTCAGCCTATTTTATATGAAGAAAAATGCATAATGGAAGATAATGATTTTTGAAGGAGACTGAAGAAAGAAACAAAATGAAGAAGATGATTCAAACAAAGTCAACATCGTCAATTTACTTTTCTCAATTGTCTTGAGGTTGCTGGTGGAAAATCTGGTATTGCTAAAGGCATACAGTACCCCGACCCACTAGGCAAAACCATTTTAGTCACGTGAATTTTCCACACCAGGCTTTAAAAGGTTGGAAAAAAAAACAAAAACAAACAACGAAAACCTCACAAGACTGCAAATCCGCTAGAGTCTGGGCAACATCTTTATCCCAACACTGAAAAATGAGGACAGCATGGAAATAAGCAGTTCATTTTACCTGCACTGCAGCACTAATTAAATTCTGACTGGTATTTCCGTTACTCATTCAAGTCTGTCTGCCTCCACTTGAATCTAAGCTCTTTGACTAAAAAAAGACACAATTCATACTCATCTTTACATCTCTCATAGTCCGTAACTTCATATATGGTCAGCATTTTGCAAACACTGCATTGAACAAATATGCATGTGTCTAATCTATTACTGCCAGTTTAAAGGAATATACTTAAGGTATTCCAAAATAGAGGCTGACCTCCTGATATTTATTTAGCTTCAGCACTGAAACTTATTGAACAATGGTTTTGATTTCTGGAATTTCACTTTCTCAGTTTATATTATTTCTTATGTGGTAAGGAATAATAAGCTAAATAATGTGAATATAAATTTTTACTGTTAACCTAAAAAACATCTTTCAAGGATAAATCCTGAGCCCAGAAAGACATCAGGCAAAACAGTGAGAAACTCTTAGCTGTGATTTATACTAGGCATGTTAGTTTGCTTTCCGTCAGTAATTAACTATTAGATTTTTAAAAAAATTCTTATTTTCTATTCTTTACTCACCAGTGTCCAGTCTTGATTTGACATGCTGATATCTTGGGTTCTGTGGTATCCTTTTGGTCAGATACTAAAAAATAAGGAAACTCACAATTAATTGGGTTAATGTAAAGATAAGGGTGGTAAAGTCAGGAGTCGGATGCTAAAATTTCTTAGAATTTAAAGATGGGACCAGGCATGGTAGCTCACATCTCTAATCCTAGCACTTTGAGAGGCCAAGGTGGGCAGATCACTTGAGGTCAGGAGTTCAAGGCCACCCTGGCAAACATGATGAAAACCCATCTCTACTAAAAATATAAAAATTAGCCAGGTGTGGTGGCATGCACCTGTAATCCCAGCTACTTGGGAGGCTGAGGCAGGAGAATTGCTTGAACCCGGGAGACAGAGGTTGCAGTGAGCCAAGACTGCACCACTGTATTCCAGGCTGGGTGACAAGAGTGAGACTCCCATCTTAAAAAACAAGATGTAACGAGTTCCAGAGCTCCAATTGTCGTTTCAATATAGGATTGTTTTCTACAGCATTTCCATAGATGAATATATTTACGCTGTTTCTGTCAGAACACTTCCATATTTCATCAAACTCATCCCAGAGCACTACCTGATGAGGAAAAAAAAAAAAGCTTCTCAAAAATTATTTCTTACACTGAGCCCAAATCAGTCTCTCCAATCTTCATTTCAGTCCACTGTTGCAACCCATTGTAAGTCATCTGCCTCTGCCTCCAGAAATCTGTTAAGATGACCAAAGGCAGTTGTTCTGACCCTCTTTCATTTCATTTTTCCTTATGATGGTTTCTAGGCCATTTCCTCGAGATTGTATCTATCTTTCCCCTGCAAGGGATGCAGACCCAAGCACCGTGCTCCAGATGTGGGCAGGCCAGGCCCCAGTGGGGCAGGCTCCCGCTGCTCACCAGAGTCTGTGGCTCCAGGGATGGCAACCATGGCATCTGCTCTCACGGCAGCTGAGGCTCACTCGGGGCTCAGCACAAGTTTATGGTCAGCAAAAATGCAAATGTCAGATTTCCTTTGTGCTGTTGTCTGGTAGCTAACTCTTTGAATCCGTATTCAAAGACATTAACCCACATTAAATTACAGTGGCAATTGTGAAACCCATTCAGTGATGAGAGGCCAATGAATAAAGGTATTATGAAATACAGCTTTCTTGCTAAGGCCTTTTCCTGGCCTGCAGGTATGAAAGTCTTTTCTTCAGTAACAAGTAGCTGTGGAATATGAAATGACTGCAATGCCTTTCCAGCTTTATCTTCTGCCACCCTCCCCCATGTTCCCATGTTGAAGTTGCAGGGAACGTCTCCCTAATGCAGCACATTCATTCAGGTTGCCAGTCTTTGCAGATGTCTGCCTAGAATGCCTTTCCTTGACTACTCCTTGGGAAAAACGTATTTCCTCTGTAAAGCCATCCAGTACGGAGGTAGGCCCTTTTTTCTCCCTGGCTCCGAGTATTCACAGCCCGCACCATTTTTTAAACCTCAGTCTTCTTCCCTAGTCTAGGATTCCCTTGAAGGCAGGGGCAATGACTTACGCAGGGGCAATGACTTACTCATACTTGTATTTGCCTAGGACCTAGTGTATGGTAAGCACATTTATTGATATTCAGTCAACAAGTGAATACTGAAAATGCAGATTGTATTACGGCAACTATCTAGTTCCTTAGAAGAGAACATCGGACTTACAGAAACTGCATCCTTTTGAAAACAGTTAACTATATAGAGCATGCTCTGTCAGGAAAATTGTGAAATAAATACTTACCTATAAAATAATCGTTCGGATGACCCACAAAGCATACAAACAACATGGGATACTTTGGCGTCTTACAAAATATCTGATGACCAGAGTTTTGGATTTCAGGACCAGGGAGAATTTTTTAAAACCAGGGGCACCTACAGTGATCACCTTTTAATATTGCCAACGACATAAAAAATAAAACCAAAGCAAAAGCCTCACTACTATCTGCTATTTTAACATCTAAAAGGTAAGAAAAAAAAAGTCCCAGAGTAAAAGGGTCAGTCCTTCAGTGTCATTAAAAAAATTCATGACATTGTGTTTTTCACTTCACCCCAGGCAAGTCAAATCTTTATCATGAACTCTTAGCATTGGTCCTCACATTGTGTTTGGAACCACTAAAGCTTGTTTCTCTAAATAATCAGTCATTTGTCTACATGAGAAAGGAACTGTAACGCCAATTTCAATTCCTTCCCCAGAGGAAGACAGAGCAGATTCTTGAGTAAAAACAGGAAAACGTACAAAAACTGAAAAAGGGGACTTCAGTACAAATTCCTCAGAGAGACAATATCATGGAAAAGTGAACCAACAAACAAAAACAGGGAAAGTATGTGCCTGGTAAATTGAGTCAATTAATGCTAATACTAGATTGCAGTTATCTTAGGCTAAGGGATTTTTTTCTTTTTGCACTCTATTTTTAAAAAATAATTTCTATACTCTATTTCCTGTTTTTACTTTTGTTTTGTTTTTCCCACTAGTTTCCTAGCAAAGTGTCTCTTAAAAATTCCAGGCTAGTCTCTGCTGAACCAAGGGGATTTGTCCATACCTAAGCCAAAATAGCTAAGAAGTGAGGGTGTCTCTGGGGACCAGGTGTGGTGGCAGCAGAATGATGAGTGGAGAGAGTGTGGACAGCTGCATGGCTGAGCCCTTCCCGCCCCCAGTTTTCCCTTACATAGACTAATGAGAAATCCATATGCTACAGGAAAACAATGTCGTTTCTTTTCTGTGTTCCCACTGCAGTCCAATTTCTTGTTCCTGACTTTCTAGTACCAACTGCAACATCAAACTATTTGTGCTCCACTGCAAGCCAAGCACCAAAGATTTTATGGGACTGACATACTTTTTTCTGTAGAATTCTTGCTTTGGGGTGGGGGGGGTGACTGCTTCTTGACCTACTGAACAACTGGCTTTCTTTCAATTACATAAACAGGATGGAATGGTGGAAAGTGAAGAAGCTGAAAAAAAAGCTGTTTTCAAGGAAGACTGTTCGTTCATTCAACAAAGACTTACTGAGCACCAACCACTCATTCAGTGGGTATTTACTGAGTGCCTACTAGGAGCAAGCCTCTGTGCTGAAGACAGAGAGGTAAAAAACAGTCTTTGCCATCCAGCTTTCGCTGACTGCTGGGAAGACAGACAAGTGGATAAACAGATGCCAGGCTGCATGAGGAACAAGGAAAGGGAAGAAGGGGGTATGACAAAAGCACATCGGATTGGCACCTAATCCAGATTAAAAGAGTCAAGAACTGTTTCTTGAAGGGTCACTTCTGAGCTGAATTCTGAGGGTCGAGGAGGTTAGTCAAGCTAAAGTAGTGGGCAGGAGCTACGGGGTTTCTGGTGAGGGAAAAGCATGGCGAAAGAATGGAGACTAAAGGGAGCACCAACAGTTTTCAGCAATCTAACATTAACTGGCAGGCCTGGAACAGAGCGGGAAATACAGGGACAACTGATGCTGGAGAGGCAGCAGGGGCAGAACACCAAGAGCCTTGCGTAGATGTAAAAAACACTTGGTTTCATCCTATAGATCAGTGGATCTCGAACAGGTACCATTTTGCTCCTTGTATCCCCAAGGACATTTGTCAATGTCTACAGGTATTTTTGGTTGTCACAACTGGGTGGTAGAAGGTGCTACTGGCATCTTGGTGGGTAGAGGCCAGGGTTGCTGCTAAATACCCTACAATTACAGGACAGCCCAAGCACAAAGAATTAGTCAGCCCAAATGCCAATAGTGGCCAGGCTGGTGAAGATGTTGAGGGATCACTGAAGAAGTCTGAAGGAGGAGTGACAAGATTTTATTTCTGTTTTAGAAAGGTGACTCTGGCAGCAATATGGAGAATATGAGTCAAGAAAGGAGGCATGAAAATCAGCTGAAAGGCTGTTGTGCTAAAAGGATCTGTAGTCTTAAGGAAGGGCCAATAAAGATAGAGGAAGAGACCATTTCAAGAGAAATCTTTAAAATGTTAAATCAACATAATTTAAAATTGACTCATGTAACAAGAGGAGGACAGTGATACCATTCTCCAAAAAAGGGAGTTAAGGAGGAAGCACATATTGAAAACATAACATGGTCAGGTGGAGCATGCTGAGTATGAAATATCTACGGGTTGTCCAAAATAGAAGTACCGGCTGGGCACAGTGGCTTACACCTGTGATCCCATTAATTTGGGAGGCTGAATCGGGAGTATTGCTCGAGCCCAGGAGTTCAAGACCAGCCTGGGCAATACAGGGAGACTTTTGTTTCTACAAACAAACATACAAACAAACAAACAAAAATTAGGTGGACATGGTAGCGTGTGCCTGTGGTCTCAGACGCTCTGGGGGCTGGAGTGGGAAGATCCCTTGAGCCCTGGTCAAGGCTGCAGTGAGCCGTGTTCCTGACACTGCAATCCAGCTTGTGTGACAGAGCGACACTCTCTAAAAAAAAAACCGAAAAACAAAATGGAAGTATCTAGTTGGCTATTTGGGTCTAGAAATCAGGAGAGAGATCTGAACTATAAAAAATAAGATTTGGGAGTTGTCAGCATACAGGCGGCAGAGAAAGCCGTGGAAATGAACAAAATCATCCTGGGGAGACTGCAGACTGAAAAACCCCAACAATTAGGGTGAGGTAGAGGAGAAATACCTTGGATGAAACTCAGAAGAGGCCATACAAAAGTGGGTCATGAAAATGTAATCAGGGAGAAGGGAGTGGTCAACAGTGAACAATGCTGGCAAGTCAAAGAACAAGAGGTCAAGCATGGACAAGCAAACAAGAATGGAGGTCAGATAAGAGACCAAGAGAAACGTGGATTTTAATGTAGCAAACTAGGACACTGGACAGCCGTGGTGGAAGCAGCTATGGGAAACTGATAGGGCAGACACAATAACAGCAGGTCAAGTATATGAGAGGTGAGGGAGGAAAGAGGACAGTAGCTGTTTGATCTTTACTTTTTCCCTTAAGAGAGTTGCCAAGGAATAATCTTTGCTGTTGTTATTTTGTTTTGGGAAAAAAAAAAAAAAAAGAGAGAGAGAGAGAGAGATTTGAGGATGTATACAGGCTAATGGGCAAGATAA